CATATATTGTAAAACATCGTACAAATATATTAAACATCGTGCAAATAATGAAAAACATCGCACACTTATATTGAACATCGCACATAAATGTAAAAGATAACAAACACATATTGAACATCCAACATATATATTGCAAAATATTGAATATTGCAACGTTTGACACGCCATAATTTTTCGCGTGTAAAACACTACATTGTTACGATCATATTATTTTTATCGTTGAACTGTTTCCCATGATATTCAATACCCCTCTGTTACACATCGTGGAAATAATTGCATGAAATTTCAGTTTAATACATCCTGTATTTCTTGAGTTATTGATCGGAAACTGAGTTGTTATTTTTGTTCAATAGTGCAGCATCCGCACCAATATTCTTTGAATAGAGGCCGGGCGCACCACATAAATAGTGGTCTCGATAATCATCCACCACCAAACTCGTTTGGGGAGCAACAACTGCAGAAATACAGGATGTTTTAAATTGAATTTTCGTCTGGTGATTTGTCATTATGTTTAACATTACGAGATTTAATTTCATAAGAAACCGTCAAGCAATGAAGCAATATTGACCGTAACAATACAGTGTTTTAAGCGCTACAAATGCAATCTGAATGAAAATCATTGTGTATTTTTCTCGTGTAAAACACTACATTGTTACGATCATATTATTTTGATCGTTGAACTGTTTCCCATGATATTCAATACCCCTCTGTTACACATCGTGGAAAATAATTGCACGAAATTTCAGTTTAATACATCTAGTATTTCTTGAGTTATCGATCGGAAACTGAGTGGTTATTTTTGTTCAATATTGCAGCATCCGCACCAATATTCATTGAATAGAGGGCGCGCCACATAAATAGTGGTCTCGATAATTATCCACCACCAAACTCGTTTGGGGGGCAACAACTCCAGAAATACAAACTGTTTTAAATTGAATTTTCGTGTAGTGATTCGTCATTATGTTAAACATTACGAGATTTAATTTCATAAGAAACCGTCAAGCAATGAAGCAATATTGACCGTAACAATACAGTGTTTTAAGCGCTACAAATGCAATCGGAATGAAAATCAATGTGTATTTTTCTCGTGTAAAACACTACTTTGTTACGATCATATTATTTTGATCGTTGAACTGTTTCCCATGATATTCATTACCCCTCTGTTACACATCATGGAAGATTATTGCAAGAAATTTCAGTTTAATACATCTTGTATTTCTTGAGTTATTGATCGGAAACTGAGTGGTTATTTTTGTTCAATAGTGCAGCATCCGCACCAATATTCTTTGAATAGAGGCCGGGCGCACCACATAAATAGTGGTCTCGATAATTATCCACCACCAAACTCGTTTGGGGGGCAACAACTCCAGCAATACAAACTGTTTTAAATTGAATTTTCGTGTAGTGATTCGTCATTATGTTTAACAATACGAGATTTAATTTCATAAGAAACCGTCAAGGTCAAGAAATGAAGCAATATTGACCGTAACAATACAGTGTTTTAAGCGCTACGAATGCAATCCGAATGAAAATCAATGTGTATTTTTCGCGTGTAAAACACTACATTGTTACGATCATATTATTTTGATCGTTGAACTGTTTCCCATGATATTCAATACCCCTCTGTTACACATCGTGGAAAATAATTGCATGAAATTTCAGTTTAATACATCCTGTATTTCTTGAGTTATTGATCGGAAACTGAGTTGTTATTTTTGTTCAATAGTGCAGCATCCGCACCAATAATCTTTCAATAGAGGCCGGGCGCACCACATAAATAGTGGTCTCGATAATTATCCACCACCAAACTCGTTTGGGGAGCAACAACTGCAGAAATACAGGATGTTTTAAATTGAATTTTCGTCTGGTGATTTGTCATTATGTTTAACATACGAGATTTAATTTCATAAGAAACCGTCAAACAATGAAGCAATATTGACCGTAACAATACAGTGTTTTAATCGCGACAAATGCAATCCCAATGAAAATCAATGTGTTTTTTTTCGCGTGTAAAACACTACATTGTTACGTTCATATTAATTTCATTATTGGACTGTTGCTCATGATTTTCAATACCCCTCTGTTACACATCGTGGAAAATAATTGCACGAAATTTCAGTTCAATACATCTTGTATTTCTTGTACATCTTGTAGTTATTGATCGGAAACTGAGTTGTTATTTTTGTTCAATAGTGCAGCATCCGCACCAATATTCTTTTCAAATTAAATGTATTCTTGAATGGTTCCCGTCGATTTTCAAACCATTTATGTCCTATATCCCAAACAATTATTGAACGAAATTTCAATTCAGTGCACTGTGTTGTTCTTTAGTTATCGTCTCCACAAAGTCAATCACCTGTGCCAACTTTGTTTGGGAAGAATTTGATGTTGGTAAAATGTACGGCAGTGCTTACACATTGTTGTTTTTGTTTTTGTTATAGAAATGTTCATCTTCAACGTTTTCTGTCGAATTTCGAATACATTGTCACACTATCACAGTCAATTATGGGAAGCAATTTCAAATCCGTGTAATTTGTTTTTCTTGAGTTATCGTCTCCACAAAGAGTGCTTTATTTTTGTTCTATTAAAAGTGACTCGAATTCGAATTAAATTTCTCGCGATTAGTACAAGTCGTATTAAATTTGTTCTTGAATGGTTCCCGTCGATTTTCAAACCATTTGTGTCCTATATCCCAAACAATCATTGAACGAAATTTCAATTCAGTGTACTGTGTATTTTTTTAGTTATCGTCTCCACAAAGATTGCTTTATTTTTGTTCCATTAAAAGTGACTCGAATTCGAATTAAATTTTTCGCGATTAGTACACTGTACTTACTTAAATCATAGTAAATGTATTCTTGAATGGTTCCCGTCGATTTTCAAACCATTGATGTCCTATATCCCAAACAATTATTGAACGAAATTTCAATTCAGTGCACTGCGTTGTTCTTGAGTTATCGTCTCCACAAAGTCCATCACTTGTGCCAACTTCGTTTGGGCAGATCTTCTACACGTTGAAGTCTTTGCGGTGTGGTGACCAGGGCCCAATTTCATAGCGCTGCTTAACAGTAAGCAGAAAAGTTGTGCTTACTATAGCAGAAAATCATGCTGCTGCTTAAGCACTATTTCATGCTTACGGTTGCGCGCGAATGGAGATTTTTATTGTTACGTCACTGATTTAAGCAAAGTTTTCTTCTGGGGTTAAGCGTGCTTTTGCTGTGCTTACTGCTTAACGGTCCCTATGAAATAGATGGGGGCTCGGTAAGCACAAAGTCGGCTGTTAAGCAGCGCTATGAAATTGGGCCCAGTATTTATGTAGCGCGCCCCCTGTTGGAAGAATTTGATGTTGGTAAAATGTACGGCAGTGCTTACACATTGTCGTTTTTGTTTTTGTTGTATAAATTTTCGTCTTCAACGATTTCTGTCGAATTTCGAATATATTGTCTCGTATATCAGAGTCAATTATGGGACGCAATTTCAAATCCGTGCAATTTGTTTTTCTTTAGTTATCGTCTCAACAGAGATTGCTTTATTTTTGTTCCATTAAAAGTGACTCGAATTCGAATTAACTTTTTCGCGATTAGTACACTGTATTTCCTTAAATCATATTAAATGTATTCTTGAATGGTTCCCCTCGATTTTCAAACCATTTATGTCCTATATCCCAAACAATTATTGAACGAAATTTCAATTCAGTGCACTGTGTTGTTTTTGAGTTATCGTCTCCACAAAGTCCTTCACTTGTGCCAACTTCGTTTGGGCAGATCGTATCCACGTTGAAGTCTTTGCGGTGTGGTGACCATTATTTGTGTAGCGCGACCCCTGTTGGAAGAATTTGATGTTGGTAGTACGGCAGTGCTCTTACACATTGTCGTTTTTGTTGTAGAAATTTTTATCTTCAACGTTTTCTGTCGAATTTCGAATATATTGTCACATATATCAGAGTCAATTATGGGACGCAATTTCAAATCCGTGGAATTTGTTTTTCTTGAGTTATCGTCTCCACAAAGAGTGCTTTATTTTTGTTCAATTAAAAGTGACTCGAATTCGAATTAAATTTCTCGCGATTAGGACCAAAAAAAAAAATCGGTCTTTGGTCAGACCGAAGTTCCGGAATTGATGCGGCGACGCGGGCTTTTGTGTGTGTGTGTTTTTTTTTTTTCAAGCTTGAATTGTACAGACAAGGTGGGTACTATTTTGCTTTTTTGTGCCCTCATTATACATTGGTGTTCTCCATAATTTGCCTTGGTGCCCTTGATCATTTGCCTTGGTGCAATTTCCCCATTCCTTGGTGCTCCTTGGTACAAAAATTTGAGGAGGTGCGGCAATAGAGGACGCGGTTATAGCTTCCGTGTCAATTTGAAGAAGAAAAAAAAGTTTGACGCGCATGGTTAAAATCGACGCGCGCGCTGACGAGAGACCGGAGTTTCTTTTTTTTTGGCCTGACACTTGTTTACTATTCGGGTAAACACGATTGATAGAGTGCTTACACAATATAAAAGATGGTGCTAGATTGGCCGAAAGACTTCGTATTCCAGGATTCGACTCTGACAATAGACCTAGGCAAGTGCGTTAATTGCAAGCATCTTATACAGAAAGTGCTATTAGATGTATTTCAATTTATTAATTTCAGGTAGGAACATTTACAGTTACCTGGAAAGGAACATACCGATGCATGTATATGACAGAAACCTTGCTCACGGTGAAGCAAAGCTGGTATTAAACACCCTACGAAAATTATTCCGCCTGAAATAGTAACGTTTGGAAGAAAACGATCATTGAAGGTGGTTTCAAAATAGACCAGCCCGCGGCCATTTTTTTTGCGTGCATTATAGCAACGGAATCCAATTACGAGACCTGCATACCCCCCTCCCAAAAAATAGGTCTGACTAACTCTTTGCTTTTTCAAAATGTATATTAGCCACTGAGATAAACTTCAACATGTTAGCTGTTACACATCATTAGAAAAACAAAACGCAAAAAAACACATGATTCATGTAAATGATAACGTTAGCAATGATTGCACAATGTGATTATCAATGCCTATCCAATGCTACAAAACCATCGCACTGCTCATTAACGCATATAAAGTTTGTGGATTCTTAAAGATATGTTTACATGCACATAAACGTCCGATTTCAAGTCGAATTTATCTCAAATGACGAGTCATAGCAATATAGGTAATCATAAAAAATACATCTTTACTAAAAACAAAATTCATGCAACACACTCAAAATTGAGTACACCACAGTCAGGTTAAACTATACACAGATTATTTATACAAGATTTGTATTAAAAACCAAAAACAAGCATCAACATTTTTAGGCAATACTGAAAAGTTTCTTAATCCCTTCACCAAAATGTTTAAATTAAACCTATTAACTAGTATTTCCAAAGTTTGCACATTGGTCGTAGGCCTTCTTTGCATGGGCTGACTGATGAATGGCCATAAATTGTAGATCGAAATGAATCACACTGGGAGCAATTGTATTGCTTATCATAGGTACTACAACTTTGTGTTAAGCATTTTGCTTATCGATGACACACATTTTTGCATTGTTTACACTACAGAAAGTTTCCATTGCTAGCCTTTTCTCAATACTTTTAGTGGTGCATATCAAATTTGTGTGCCTATACCAGGACATGGATTTGACCAAATTCTGCGGAGAGATTATGTTTGTAAACCTCAATATCAAGATCTTGCCGACATATTTTTTTTCACCATAAAATGTAGGAGTAAGAATGCTGTTTAGATTTGTCAAGGAAATGCAATAACTGAATTTACGACTACATTGGTATATCTAGTAAACATAAGGTGTAAAAAAATGTTAAACGTAACTTTTTTCGGCCTTAGCCTGGTTTCTGCTACATTTTGTTCGCACTCAATGAAGTCACTGTGGTCATGTGCACAATTATTGTGAATTACTATTTAACCCCAACACCATCAGGTTAGTTGAAACGGCTTTAAAATGGGCTGCATTTGGTAACCCAGGGAGTTTTTTTTAAGTTAGTCACTTGGCACTACATGCGTCTACGACCTGCACAATTTTCCAAAACATTTATAGGCTTGGACAAAGGTATAGAGTGCGTTTGAGAGGCGGTAACAAATATAGTTGTGCGGTTGTTTGTCACTGATTTAAAGTTTTAGTGACTTTGGATGTGGAGTAATTATAACCTACATGTAATTGTATTTTCTACTGTAAAATCGAATTCGCTAAAACATTCAACCGCTGCAAAAGACCAGAACCGGTTATTTGTTACGACCGCCAAAAGACATCCTTATCAGGGACGTAGTGTACTCCATTACAAGTCCCTGATGAGTCGATCCTTCGTACGTCAATCACAAGTCCTCAAGTCCAAATTCAACTTACAAGCTTTAACTGAGCTTTGATAAAGGCATTTCTTAGTTGCTGTTCACCTACTGTAACTTGTGACTGGATTGTGTATGAACTTGTGATCTACTCGTGACTGAAGATGCGATGGACTTGTGATTGACTTGACTGATCCTTGGCTTTGAACAGTCAATAAAACTAGAGATCCCCTTCCAATTTGTCTTGCTCTTGTATATCAATCTCAGTTGTCACGGCCTCATTGCCACATTTCAACCAAATCCAAACTCTCAGCTTGTAGAGGGCCCAGATCAGGCCGTGCATGATGATAACGGCCACAAAGATACCAAGGATAACGCCGGCGGCCAGGCCGGGCGAGTTGGTATAGTCGATGAACGGGTAAATGGCGCCGGTTGAGCTGATGGTGCGCCCTCCAGCGGCCCAGAAGATCACGGTCAGCGCCAGGTACGCCACGTCGAAGGAGATCGGGTAGATGAATTGCAGGAAACGCACCGGGATGGGCGTCAGGAAGAGGTCCAGCAGGGAGACGATGGAGGTGACGGTGTGCACGTGGAAGTCATAGAAGAAAGGGAAGGCCGGGTTGTAGAGGGCGCCCCAGTAAATGAAGGTGACCAGGATGTTGAGGTTGATGGTGATGTTGAAGAACATCCAATGTATCTTGTGACGTATGCCCATCGGAGCATCTGGCAAATGAATGTAGATGTGAATAATTTATGTGACCTAAGTCAGTGGTTACTCTTGTGCTTTAAGGTTTGAAACCCTAGCATAGGTGACTGTCCTTTCAGGCAAAAATCAAGGCAAGCTAGCAATTCTTGGGTGCAAAGCAATTCAGTTCAATTGGTTCGGCATGGCTACTCGATTGCGGGGTAATACACAATAGCACTGCCCGGCTCGATCTTTTCGCCGGACAACAACCAGGATAACCCACAAGTGACAGTCAGTCATGACTCGGTGAAGTGGAGCCCCCGGTGTCCGGGCCCCCTTCCCCATTCCCTCAGGGAAACACCAGTTAATGAGAATATGGTCCAAGGCCCAGAGGGCAACAGTTTGGAAAAGATAATTGGCAAAAACAAAAAACAATTCGTAGGTACAACTTATTGGCTTAATGCCAGAGGGTTAAAGTTTGAGGCAAGGGAATAGAGACAAAACTTCATGGAACATCGTTGGCCCAATAACAAAACTGCAATAAATTAATACAATTTGCATACTCGGGACACCGTGACCATGCAATCGACCCAACATGTACATGTAATATACATATACTCTTATGATGAAACTAACCTTCACTTTGTCCATTTTGCATTCGGGGTCGGATGACGCCATCCACCACGGCAACGACGGCAGCGACCACCATGTAGATGACGAACACTATGAAACCAAGGTTGGTCAGATACACGAACGCCTGCCCTGCCAGAAGTTGGATTTGTTGGACGAAGTAGGCGATCAATATACCCAGCAGGTAGAGGGCTAGGACCACGCGGTAGATGATGAAGAGGATATAGGGAAACTTCTTCCACTGACGAGAAGGAAAACGAAGATGTTAAGTTTTCTGATATAAATATGGAAGATACCGGTACTGAAACAGAGTTGCCAAGAGACGGCAAACAAGTCCTGGTTTCTCTCTCCTTGACTTAGCTCAGGACTCTTGCGCATCTCATCGACATTCCTCCATGCTCGACTCGAGTCATGCGAGCAAATGACTCGACTCGACGCGAGTCCCTCATCAGAAGACTCAACTCGACTCGAGCGAAGACGTGTCAAGATGCAGTGATCATTGAAGTCTATGATTTTAGCCAACACAAATTTCACTTTTGGGAAAGAATGCATCTTGACACGTCTTCGCTCGAGCCGAGTGGAGTCAATTCTGATGAGGGACTCGCGTCGAGTCGAGTCATTTGCTCGCATGACTCGAGTCGAGCATGGAGGAATGTTTACTCATAGCTCCAGCACGGTCACCAAAAAATGTGACTCGAGTTGGACTCGAGTCGAGTCACTGACTCGAGTCGAGTCACTGACTCGAGTCATTACAACTCTGGTCTCGTCCGATTAGGCTTCAAATTGAAATCACTAATTGGCTTCACTAGCTCTCAGGTGCAAAATGTTGAAGAAAAGTCTCATTTAAAAATGAATTGATATGCTGCAAACTTGGCTGGTGAAAAACTGAGGACCTATATATAGTTCTTGCCTCATTACATTTTTGGAGAATTTTGTTTTTCTACACTCAATGTCCCAGTCTGCTGTTAGGCCTACATAATCCCGGGACATACCGTTATTTCGTTTTACCGTTTTGCATTTCCTCAAAACAAAAACAGTAAACAAACCATTGACCGTTTTGTCGTTTTACAGTTTTGTAAAACGGTCAAACGGTATTAAGATAAATACGGTTTCTCTATTTTATAAGTTTAATAAACTTCAATACAGCATAACGATCAATGATTTTTGTTTTACAGTTTTACACAAATAACTTTGAAAAACAGCAAAACGGTCAGTATTGAATACAGACTGTTTTTTTTTTTATTTCAGTGTCATAGTGAGCAGTCCGTGGTGCATTTTGTGGCGCTGGGCAAGGGGGATGGAGGGGGACCATGCTTTACATGAAAAAGTGTTACCTCGGCATAATGCGTGGTGTGATTCCTGGCGTGACCCTGACCCCCTTCTCACGCGATTCAGTTGGTGGGGCTTAAGAGTTGCAAGCAAAAATGGCGCTGGGAAACTTCAAGGGAGGACATTACTTTTTACAGTGGATACAGGATGGTAATACGTTTGAAGAAGTTGCAGATATTTGAAGGAAATTGGAGTTCGGCGCGGCTCTTCAATAGCCAGTTCGAAAACTATGTCGTGAGAACGAAATGTGAGGGAGGGTAATTTGTGTCCCAGGCAATGACTCGATCCCATAAGGACGCATTAACATTCCTAGGTGCATTGCTTAATTGCCGAACCTAAATCAAAAAATGGTCGACAGGACTATTGACCGTTTTTCATTGTCATGTTCTTGTAAAACAACACTCTGAAATGAAGCAACTAACCGTTTATCGCTTTCAACAATCAAGAAAAACAACAAAAAGGTCACTGTTTTTTGTGACCTAATACCGTTTGACCGTTTTACAAAACTGTAAAACGAAAAAACGGTCAACGGTGCGTTTACTGTTTTTGTTTTTGAGGAAATGCAAAACGGTAAAACGAAATAACGGTTTGTCCCGGGATTCTACATCATACCTTTTCTCTACGATCATCATACTGATGATAAACAGTATAGAGGAAAAGCGGTCTAGTTTTATGCACGGGCCTTCAGCGTGGATGGTCATGTATAGGTCTCTCCCCGGGTCGCACTAAAAAGCGTCAACACAGCGTCAACACAGCGTTAACACATGACAGAAGCGTCAACACACCGTTAACACATCCAAAACACATTCTGAATTGACAAAATGATATATAATTGTAAAGCATAGAATAAAAGAGAATTTCCATTGGATTGAGTTTCCATTTCGTTGTTAAAAATATAGTATTTTCACGCGAAAAAAATGACCTTTCACTTGCACGGCCGTTGTCCGCCATCTTGACTTCGCACAAATCTTGGACTACACCATTTCAAGCAGGGGTGTGTAGATAATGACATTATCTTGTCATAAACAACAGAGGGATACTAGATCTGTGAGGACTGAAGATCGGAGTGGTGGATCATTATTTTGTGAGTTGTGTTTATGTTTCATTTACTTTATTGAAATGGACATCTTTTGGTATTGGCCGGCCGCGCTCTCTCTGTTGGTTTATTCATGGAGGAAGGATAGTCTATTCCTTCCTCCATGGTTTATTGTACAACGCTGTTACCCTTTAGCATAATGGTATGGTCCGCGCTGCCACTGAGGCAACATGGCAGCCGATTTCGGAGCGGCACGGAGAGCCAATTTTCTTGAACTGAAAATCACAATTTTCAGACGTTTAACCTAGATTGATTTTAAGCCAAAATCTTGTTTCTGTGCATACTGTATGGGTTACATACTGCTTGTGTCACTTTTAATGCATTTTGGATGTGTTGACGCTGTGTTGACGCTTTGGAGTGTGTTGACGCTGTGTTGACATGTTGACGCTTTTTAGTAAGACCGCTCTCCCCCGAGTACGAAAATGGCACGTTCCATTGCAAAATCCTCATGGCTATATACATGTATATACCATTTAGTGAAAGGGCGTAATCTAAGTTCACATATGGTATTGTGTATACGTTCTACCAGCACACGGTATGGGTGTCACACTGTCAGTATAAGAAAGTTGTAGCCTATACGGCGCTATAGGATCTTTGATATAGGCCTACTAGACATATTCGCCGGTTTGTCCCGAAGTTCAGAACACTAAATGTCCGGCTCCTTCAGAAAAAAAAAACACGTTTTGAAATACATTGTAATGTCGCCGGCATACCTGTGTACGGTAAAACACGCTGGCGTCATCGTAGCTCAGCCCAAAATCAGACGGCTTTGGTCGTTCACAACACTTCATTGACATGCTGCTGACTCGATCACGTCACACACAAGCGATACACTTTAAGATAGTGAACTAGACAGAATCTTTCGTTTCTTAATTCCGATATATTAAGCTTGACGTCCCACTCGTTGTCTATCACCGTGCAGGCTATGGCAGCCTTTTATGATTACAACATTGACACGAGAAACACGCTAATTCCGTAAACACTTCCATTCACAACTTGGCAAACATAGGAAAGAATCACACGCTTAAATAACTCCGGTGAAACGGAGGTCACTGCATCATTGCAGCGCTTCCTTTGTGAGTCGATCCTCGACCTGCTTTGTACATCATTGACCAGCCTCAAGGCCGACCGTCAACATATTACCGTACGGGTCATGGCAGTAAGTACTTTTGTACATGTACATGTACATGTACATTGTACTTACATGTACATGTACTTTTTTTTACCCTAAAAGGGCCGGGTTATTTTAGCTCTTTCACCATCTCTCAGCCGGGGGGGGGGGGCCTAAGATCTCGGCCACCGAGTAACGAAACATTTTAAAACTCAGTACATGCATAGAGCAACTCCCCATAAACATACCCAAGAAATTTCGTGACTATAGGTCAAATGGTTATGGAATTATGGCTAATTAACTATTCATATGTACGAATGGTAATTCTGCTCCGTGTATACGATGTACGTACATGTATATGGAAAAATTCAGTTTTCACGGCGCGTAGGCGTAGCGCGGAATATTTTTATGTTTTTGGAATCAAAAGATGCGCAAAGGCTCGAGGCTAAAAAGTCATAAACAGCTCGGGTCGCGAATTTTTTTTTTTTTCAAAGCTATCGCGGAAAAAGTTGAGGGGGGGGGGGGCGGATTCCGCCCCTCTCCCCTGGCCCTTTAAGAGTTAAGCACCAATGATCTCTCAATCTCCTTTATGGTGGAAAAAGGGGGAAATGCATGCCCGTGGAATATTATTGAATATGGGTGTAGCAACAAGCAGTCACTGAATTTCCCGTTCACATCACAACAGTGAATGACAGACCGGGTTAAAACTCATAGTATTGCCTTGTCTGTAGGTTATCCGGTTCGTAAGTGTGACGTCACTTTTAGTTTAAACCACGCCCACTGGAACCGGACGTTAAAGTAACTTGAGTGTTTAGCCAATGGGCGCTTGCAGTGGTGCGTGCGCGTGTATGACGAAGTCACTTATACGAAACGAAGAGTGCACACCATGCATTTGCAAAAACTAGGCTTTGTCAAATCGATCATGGAGGAAGGAAAAACAGATGATTCAATTTAAAGCTATAGTCCATCATTTGCAGCCATCCGAAAAGTAACTGGCGTAATTATTGTTGAAAAACATACTTGGTTGAAAGATAGTAAGGGAACTAAACTCCCTGTGAAATTATTCTTTTTGGGAAGCTGTCATTTTGAAGTAATCAACGAAAGAAGGCATTTCCAACGGTGATTCTTAAGAAGCACCGTAGGAAAATTTAAATTAGTAGTTCGTTTTGTTATTCAGCGCAGCGCACAAGTATTGGAACGACGCACACGCGCGAGATCTTAGAATGCTATTTTTCTCGGAATGTACAGCTGAAGCTTAGCTGAAACTTCATCAGGTTAGTTGTTCAGTATTCTTCATTAGATTTTGAACTCTTTTGTTGCTTCAAACGAACAAAATGCACAAATTACAAATGATGGACTATAGCTTTAAGTAACACTACGTTGAATCGCCAGAAAGCAAGATAATAAAAAAACTAACCTTTCGAAATGTCAGCTCAGTAGATAACATAATTTATAGAAAACTATGAAAAATGCAACTTTATTTTTCTCGACGCAAAACATTGAAAGCGCGATGGTTTGGTCCTACCGTCGCGAGGAAATGATTGGAATTCCTCTTATGGTTCGAAGATGACAGAAACCAGGTGTTATGATTTCACAGGACGCTTGATCATTTTGTATACTTACACTCAAGGATATATATTTTGACAGTTTCATTTTTGACGGTATTTGCAACGGTGTCAATGGACCGATCCAGTAAGCACCGCCCCATGGTATTCTGACCAATTACAGCCGTGATTTATGTCCGACACGCGTGTACAAAAGTCCGACATGCGTGCACGCGCGTATGATGCGCGCGGCAGGAAAATGCAGTGTGGCATTGGAGAGGAACACGTGTTAATTTGCCCACGTGCGCAGTGGGAGGGGCTTACTGGACCGGTCCAACCGGAATTGCGCGTCTGATCTTAAATTGTTAAAGTTAGCGCATGGTTAAAGGTAATCTTATACCTTTAATATTAAAGTTCATCGTGCAGTTCCGAAAGTTATACTGAGCAGTGGTTGTACGTACAAGCTACATTACACGAGTCACTCAGTCAGCGTATCACAACTTAAATTGAGCATAGAGGAATGGTTTGAGCTGATGTACCCGAGATTTTGACTGTATTCAGATTATATTCAATGAATTTTTACTCAAAAGAAATCACAAGTTTCTGTTATGCGGAAAATACAGCACTTCGTAACGTCGTGCCTTTGCAAATTATGAGAACTTTACCTTGGACGTTGTACCTCACATAGTTAACATGTAGTTTGCAAGTTATTTTAGCAGTAGTTATAAAGGTATTCCCATCGCACAGCACCTACAAACAAGATCTTCATTTAAGACTAGGTCTTATAAATAAAATGTTGCTTTAATTCTTTTTATGAACATGTACTATGCGAAATCATAAACCATTGTGCCGTGAATATTATGCACGCCTTCATAACATACATTTTAAGGTTTTGCATATACATTTTGTCATCTATTCATAAAGGTTCTCTCGATTACAGAAAATAAACAGAACCGTATGGCCCATTTTGGTAAAATATATTACGGTTTTGGGTGATTTTGAGGTATAGTTTGGGGCGAAACATTACTACTTGCGTTTCATTTGAAGGGACTTCAGTAATTATTGAAAGACCTCTTTTTCATGCTGGTCCAGTTAAATTTAATATCAATACACAATACCAGCAACATAACATATATTCTCACGACTCGTTTTTTTTTTTAAATCAATTTTTTCGCTTCCTTCCTTTTCGCATTTCCTTTTTATTAGATAAATACTGAAGTTCCTGGTGGACAAATAGTCGATCATGGTATTCATCTTGTATATATTGTAAAAATAAGGACAAATTAAACATGCCTTTTATTCCTAGTTGCCTAAATACAACTGAATTCAGCTGGATTTGAACATTGTGACTGCTCGACCAACCTATACTGGCAAGTGTGCAAATGGGCTAGCTATACCCGGCCAAGCTCTACATTAACAGTTTCCCAAACGGACGCTAGTTTCCCAAGTGAATAACCTAATTCAATGAGGATATCCATGAAATTTATATATAATACCTCGTTTTTCCCTTGTGGCCGTGGTCTGACAAAAAACATGTATAAATGCAGGAAATGCACGACTTATGTGGAAGCTCAGAACCAGGTGGCTTATTTGAAGGGCAGTAGCGTATCCAGCTTATTTTGATGTTGGAAAGGGGGGGGGGGCAACCGCACATCCGCGCCCAAATGTAGACATGTTTTTTTTCTTGGCCTCCGTAAAATCAAATGGGGTGGGGTGGGGTGGGGGTGGGGGTGTTGGGTGCAGTTACCAGGGGTGTGAGTGACCACTGATAAAAATAGCTGAAAACAGCTGAAAAAAGGTGTAAAACAGCTGAACTTTGGAAATCTCCTATACTTTTGTACACAGCAAGTGAGGGAAAAAGCTGGAAAAAAGCTGAAATCCAAAACAAAAAAAAGCTGAAATCAGCTTTAAAGCTGAGATTTCACACCCCTGAGTTACCCATCTTCCAAATGGGGGCGCTCTTTAAAAGTGACCATTATTATGCAAACTACAAATGATATGCCTACAATGTATTTTCACGGCGCATTGTAATTGTTTTTGAGAGGGTTTTCTCTTTTTGTGGATTGATGCATGCCCGTCGTCAAGGGGGGGGGGGGGGGGGGGGGGGGGGGAGGGGGTTGGTGGGGGGGGGGGGGGGGGGGGCGCGGTGGGGCCGGGCCCCCCTTGGCGAGCAATTGTGAGCCATACATGTGTATTTTGTTAATTTTTAAGGTAGTGGGCTCCCCCCATTGGTACTTTGCCCTCCTACGTACAGATCCAGCTTGGTTATTGGTAAGGGGGTATATGTACATTATTCTGTGATATAGTGTTAATTATTGCCGGATTTGAACAGCGCCCCCACTGAAAGTATGCATTTATCAGTCATAGAGCATGAAGTTCAGCATGCACCGACTGTGCGTCATCATATTCTTTTGTGTCGAAATGAAAGTACGTTGGGTCCTGCTACACTTTCAATGATTCAAAGTAATATGTAGACTTGATACAAGCCGCATGTGTGCACAATGTTTTTGATTGAAGATTTTACAGTCTTTTTAAAGATGGGCACAGAGAGGCTGAGACTTTAAATATGCCGGAGGGCAGAAAAAAGAGGCTGAGACTTTTAAATATGTCCAGAACCTGCTGTATGTAACTATATCTATCTATCTATCAAGTCGGCTCGAGACGTTGCCACACCTCCCTTGACTCCATGCAGCTGGCCAACTCCTCCTTCGTCTCGACTCCTGCATCCTGCATCAACGTCATTAACATAGTTGTCCTTGGGCGTCCAGGCTCTTGTCTGCCATGCGTTGGTTCCCAAGCCACGAGCTTACTAGCAGGCAGGCAGCACAGGGTGTCTGTGGCAGTGACCAGCAAGCTGCAACCTACCCGCCTTGATCTTCTCCGTGAGCGCAGGGAGTTTTCCATAGAGCCGGACATTGGTGAACCTTCTGAACTGAACCTTCCTCAACCTTCCTCAACATGCGGGTGTATGTGCCATCGATGTGTATGTAACTACTGATGTTCATATCTGTCCAGTCGTGATTGGCTCATCAACTACCTTCTCATCCTCGATGCAATGCTCCTCCACTTCGGCAGCCGATAACGTCCTCAGTCGGGTAGGAGCACTGGTGCCACCGTCACATCTGACCCAGATCCACTGTTTAAATTTATACAGTGCCCAGACAGCACCCTGCATGAGCACCACTGCGGCGAAGATCCCCACGATCGCACCTGCTGCTCGGCCCGGATGATCCGTGTAATCTAGAAAGGGGTAGATGGGCTGTCTGTGGAAGCCGCCCACCGCCCAGAAGATGAGTGTGAAGACGAGGTAGATGGTGCCAAGCAGCAGAGGGTAGACAAAGTGCAGGAGGTAGATGGGCACCGGTGTGAGGAAGATATCCAACAGGCAGACGACGGATGTCAGGGTGTGCATGGTCAGATCATAGATGAGTGGGAGCATGGGCGTGTAAAGGGCGCTCCAATAGACCAGGGTGACTAGGAAATTGAGGTTGGTTGTCATGCTGAAGAGGAACCAGTGAGTCTTGTGACGGACACAAAGTTCTGTTTAAAAACATCACAGAAAAAAACAAACGTAAAGGAGTAATTCGAAGATAACCCATTTACTAGTCTGAGGATCAGATGTTCACATGTACAGAGCCACACTAAAAAAGTCTGATACATATGTGCATGTAAATGTGATGCAACTCCGCGTGCCAGCCGATCGGAGCGGCCTTTAGAGCTTGTGATGTCATTTTGGAGTAAACATTCGGCCAAAGCAGTTGACTGATCAATAGCTGCCATGATTTTGTAATACGACATCAGGTTACCAAACACCAAAAAATATGAACATCACGAGCCCAGGCACAAGTCAATCACAAGTCAATTCATAAGTCTAGTTGCAAGAAACAAATGATGAGCAACAACAAAGGAATGCTTTTGTCAGGTTCATAGTTTGTGAGTCGACTTGGGACTAGATCACTTGTGATTCACTTGTGATTGACTTATGACTTGTGATCAATCACAAGTAATGTTTTAGTGAAGCAGGATTAGTGATGCTCTGCATTGGTAATTGTTGGTATTGGCAGATCCATTACCTTCACCGGCATTTCTCCGCTTGATGCAACCATCCCAGATAACATTAACACTCGCCGTCACGTTGTATGCAATGAAGATCATGAAGGCGATCGTTGTCAGGTAGACGAATGATGCACCGCCCTGGCTCTTGATAGAAAGGACCAACACACCGATGAAGAAACCAATCACGTACAGGGATACAACAACCCGGTAGATGGCTAGGACTAACAAGGGTAACTTGGACCACTGAAAGTGAAACAAAGCATGAACAAATCTCTTTAATACACTGTACGTATCCATCAAAAGTCATCTTCAAGTTTATACATGCATGTTATGGGTCAATTACATACATACATGGTACCAAAATCTGATGAGTAGATTGTTAACTGCAAAACTATGCAATAAATATGCAGCCTGTGACTTAGGCTGTATAACTACTGGACATCTTTATATAGGCCTAAAACCATGTTTTCTGTTTAGTGGTAGTCTACAACTGGTAGAAGGCCAGTTGTGGTAAATTAATTGTCTCCTGGATTAGCCTGGAGAACCCAGCTCTGTTTTCAACACCTTAAGTTATGGGACTCTCATACACAGTATTGAGAGTCCCACATTTTTTGTCTAGTGCCAGTCTAGTCTTTAGCCTCATTTTCAAATCACTTGACTTCCCTCCCATCCATGTGCAAAATATTAAAGAAATGTCTCCGTTAAAAATTGAATTTAGTCGTCAAACTTGGTTGGTGAAACACTGAGGACCCTTTCTTTGCCCAATGAAAATTGTGGAGAATTTTGCTGGCTAAGACTGGGCAAAGTTGTCCCGATTTCGTTTTGCATAATTTCAACACTCCACTCAAGGTCCGACTCCCACTGCCCATTTCTAGAATTAGAAGCACCTCTCCTGTGCCTTCTAGAATTTTTCTGGGTGGTCAATACGCTATCAGACATGGAAATGCATAGATAGACCAAATACTTTTGTCTGGAATTCCACTTTCTGAAACACAAATCCACCCAAAAAGTTGCCCTAGTTGATCCATAACTCTCTAAATTTCCAGAACCATTGGCGTTTGGGCCATCGGACAGATTTGTTCCGAAAATGTAGAACTTGGAAAAAATGTTGCAACTTGACACCACTTCTGCAATTGTGTAAAAAGTCTATGGAGAGTCAAGAATTATTTTTAAGTATTTCCTAACAAAATTGGAAATATTTCTCAGTCCCAGATTCATGTCTCATCATCATTTTTACAATGAATGACCTTCATTGAGATGACATATGAAGAAAAAAATGGCCTCAGGTTGCAATTTTTGTTCCTAGAACTTTGTCAAGTTTTTATTTTTACGATTAGACTTTGTAAATTGTTTGTGGTTTATTTACACTTTAGAAGCACACTCACCCTCATCAAAGCGAAAGAAGATTAGGTCCCCTCATTTTAGGCCTATATTTCGTGCCACATTTCCGGGTTCATGTTCCAAGTTAGTCCCATAAATGTGACTGAAATACTGACTACGGAGGCAGTATTTGGAAAGATTTCCATATACGAAGTTAACTAATTTTCCTCTGTATTGACTAACATTAACAAGCCCCCAGATAGCAATTTCATGTCATCAAAGTCAATTTGACTAGTTTGAGCAGTGAGAAAATACAAGCATTCTCTTAGAAAACACTTAGAATTGTTCAGTCCAATCTCATAGGGTTTGTACACAGAGTGTTGAGTGAACTTCGTATATGGAAATTTTCCGTGAATTCCTGATCATGAGCATGTCAAGCTAGCTAGAGCTAACTGCCAGTCTCATGATGATGAATCTCGACTTACTTGCGGACGATAAAACACGCTGCTATCATCTGTTGTAAAACCAAAATCTGATAGTTTCGGTCGCTGAATACACGTCGTCATCGTGGGCTACACGATTTCTAGGCCCTATTCTAATTAACTGTTTTTAAGTGATGGTCGTCGGTACGGTCACACCATAGAGCTATCATCACAAGGGATCACGTTTGTTTACGTTTGTGAGCTGTGTTTCCTGTTCCGCTTGCATGTCTTCTTATTTTCTTAAGTTGTTGTGTTTGTAGTACATGTATAGCGCCCTCCTTTGTCCAAAATGAAAAGCACTTACTCGGTTCATTCTTTTCGATACAAAAACCATAAAACTGCCATTTCATTTGGGAAAACGATATAGCTTTGACGGGGAACATTTGTAAATTATGTGTATGACCACTTAGCAAAATTGCTAGCAGTGGCAAAGCAGCTAATACCCATAATACCAAAGAAACCCCCAAAACACACGCAGTGTTCATATAATTTATTAATTAATTTATTTGCTTATATAATTGATGGTGAATTGCTAAAACGAGATCCACATTTAGTGGCACTTCCTGAAATGCTCCCCGCGGCCTGCTTTTCAACTCACAGCATTCCCACATTAAAATGTTTTTTTTTTCTTGTCTACCATCATGCTGAATAAAATGATGTTGATGATCCAACTGAAAATATCGTCTTGTTAATTCTATGGCGAAATTGCTTGGACGGCCTCAGTGGCAGGTTAAAAAGTTCATCCCTTAATTCCTGTTGTAGGGCGACCCCCTTTTAAAGGCCAGGGGCCGGCCCCCTACCCTAAACTTTTTTCCGCAAGCCTTGAATTTTCTCTTTTTTTCGCGACCCCGGCTGTTTTGACTTTTTCGCCTCGAGTCTTGCGCACCTTTTGACACCAAAAACATAAAAATCGGACCCGTTTGCCGCGCAGCCCAAAATTTTGCGGCACTTAATTCGCGCCGTCAAAACTGAATTTTCATATACAGTACACGTACGTCATGAACACAGAGCAAAATTACGAATCGTGCTATTAGCCATAATTCCTCAACCCTTTTACATATAGTCATGAAATTTCTTGGGTATGTGAGTTGCTCTATGCATGTGTCGAGTTTCAATTTTTTTCGTCACTCAATGGCCGAGATCTTAGGGGAGGGGGCGGATTCCGCCCCTCCCCCCCCCCCCCCCCCGGCTGAGAGATGGTCGAAATAACCCAGCCCTTTTCGGGTTAAGGCCCTCCCCGTTTTAGCATTACGATGGAATTCACCAAGATCATTTTAACCATCCGCTAAAAGTAAACTGAATTATAACCAGAATATTACACTTTGGACCCGCACATGGACAAAAGGACAAGCAGCTAATAAGCTTTTTGAAATAGCCCCCCCCCCCCTCAAAAAAAGGCCTTCAATCTCTTGAGTTGCTAATCGGTCTTTGACCATGCATCCAATATACTCCTCCAGTCCGCCACCCAAAAAATACTTAGGCTTGATCCATTTTAACCTCATTAAGCCTTCGATCTACATGGTTGCTGAAAATAATTCAGTGGTGGATCTATAGAGGGACAGGGGGTTTGGGCAGGGGTGGGGGATTTGCACAGTCAGCCGATGACTATCATGTTATGAACTAGTACAAAAGGAAAAACAAATGGTAAAAGGAATGCTCAAAGTTCCTTAATTTATTCTCAAACTGCTTAGAATGCAAGAGAAAGCATAGACTTCAAAATAAAATCCGGGGGATGCCCCTCGATCCCCTAGCAATGCACGCCTTCACTCCGTACCCCCTTTCACGAAAGCTATGGAGATTCGCCCTGGCTGTAAATCATAGCATTTTGAGATTCAGACAAGTCATTATGAATCCCAGGCGTCTTCCTTTTTTTGATAATCGTGTACTTTAAGACCACGTTCCGGAATTCCATGGACCAGCCTCGACTCCATGGGCGCGTGCGCGTTCCTTCATTTAAATGAGACAAATCCATGGGCTGAGTTCGGCGCGCAAGGCATGATGGGAAACAACATGGCGCAGCAAGATCTAGTACCCATGGGAACGAGGTTGTCCATGGACCATTCACGAGGTAGCCATTTTTGTCGTGTTCCCTGATCGTATTTTATAAATTGTTAACTGTCGAATGGGATGGCGCCAGACTATTTATGCAGCCTTATTTCACTTTTTTTTAATCTGGCTTAAAACAACATTAGGGAATGTTTAATTGCAAAGTTTAAATTATTCATTTAAGCAAACTTGAATTATTTAGTTATGTACTTTATTTCATTTCACTTCGCAAATTCCAAAAATGAGGATTTCCTCACTTTCAATTCAACTCGTGCATAAGGTCCAAATCATGTATTTGGAGAACGAAAAGTCCCTTTTGTGTTTTGGGATCGACTTGCCTAAATATTTGGCGATGATAAGCAGGAAAAGCACTCTATGTGTTCGGACTCACCTAAATAGTTCAAGATTACCATGTTGAATATCAGCAGGCTTCCACAGACCGGGAATTGTGTCTGAACTTCTGTGACTCACACATCACTGACTGCTAAAACAAGTCGCATTTTCTTCCAAAGCACTGATCGGATTTGACAAAAACCTATAAGGGTTAACATAAACTCAGACTGCTTGAGGCTGCAAAAGTCATCTTGGAAATGACAGTCCTTCGCAAAAGTCATTTTTGAATGGAACTATATAAAAACAAATAGAGGTGTCATAAACTAAACGATTTCCTCTTCTTTGTTTGTGTAATAAAGGTTGTAAAACCTACATATCTTGCTGATGTTCGCTGTAAAATGTATCAGGTGTCTCCTCGGCTGTGGTAAGATTACAGTTTTCTTCAGGCCTGCGACCGAAATATCGCTTGTGTATATAAACGCGCAGCCGGTAGACTCCGTAACCAAACAGATGAATCAGGGGTACCGTGATGGATATCACGACGCAGGATAAAACGGTCCAGCCGGCCTGGGACCAATCCAACACCCCGGGATATATAGCCGTTTCTCCGGAGTACGGGTTCACGCCGCCGGACCAGAAGTAGATCAGAGTGAAGCTGATGTACACGGTGCCGTACAGGAAAGGGTAAACGGAGTGGACAACACGAACTGGAATGGCGGATACCAGCAGATCAGCATAGATGAAGACTGTGTTCAGGGCGTGGAAGTGGATGTCTAGCGCCAAGCCGAGGCCAGACTCTTCTTGCGGCGCGAGGAACGACCAATACACCACTGTGATGATGGGATCGACGGCCAGACAGATGTTGAACAGGACCCAGACAAATTTGAAGTAGTGAGGCAAGGGGGGCCTAACAGCACCCTCCAGGGGCCGTCTTGGTGTCGGCAGCTCGGTGGACGTAACATTCATGTTAGACCCGAGATCCTGAACAGTGACATTTTCCGGTTGTGATGCGGTGTCTTTGGAGTAAACTTCCTCAGTTAAAACGGAAAAGGAAAACAGATTACATTATAGTGCAAATATCATGCCCATTTAATAGTGCTTCAAGTACATAATGATATAGATTTTCCCCGGTTATTTTAAAACTTTTTTTTTCATTCAAATTCAACAACTCTAACATTAAATTTCGTCCAAAAAAATTTCACACGTTTGTAACAAAAACAATTTAGTCATTTAGTCACCGGATCAACATTCCTCATTACAGATCATATTCGTCTGAGCTGTTGCCGAATGGCAGCATTCAGGGACCGAATCCGTCTTATATAAATCAATTTAGACGAATTTGATTTCTGTATAACAAGGTTTGGCGTAGACGAGACAAAGTCGAATACTTCGGGACGAAAACGTGCGCTCATTGTTTGAATTTGCTTGAACTGAATTTGAAATTGCCTGAAAAAACCCCGAAATTAAACATTGGAAGTGCACTAAATCCATGTTGGTGGACGAATTTGAATATTAGAAACGGTGAACTCAATGATAAACGTTTCTAAATAGCCGAGAAAACCCATTTAACAATTTGTATCAACATCAAACTGAGTACATGTATCAACAATTCAAAATGAAGAGTTCAGTATATGCCCTATACACATGTATAAGACATTTTCTGGGGTCCGGTCACATCCCATTTCAACTTACATCGGTTACTTCTGTCAGCAAAGGTGAAGTATATGACGCCAATGCAGGACGACACCGCATAAAGAGTCAGCACGAGAAAGGTCCAGTCGGTAAGAAAGACGAAGAAACCCCCAAAGTTCTTTTCTATTGCCAGACGGAAGATTAGCCAGCCAAGGAGGTACAAAGCCAAAAAGACCCGCCAGGCTGGGTAGATAAACCTGTGGATCGGCCACTGCATGGGAACGGGATAGGAAAAAAAATCCTGGATGGAGGGTTTAATTCTCTTTTACTGTCAGCGTCACACACTCTATTAAAAAACGTGTCAGATTTTATCCGGTATATGGGTTCTTTGGAGACTGACACTTTTCCGGGTCAACATGACTTGTTCTGGGCCAAATAACAAAATTCTGGGTCATTTTGACGGAAAATGAGTCAAAAATTCTGGGTCATTTTGACGGAAAAATGAGTCAGAGAAGTGAGATTTTGACCTGGAGAAGTGTCATTTGACCTGGAAAAGTGTCAGGCTAAATATGACTCACCTTGCACGTATTTAAAAGTGCAACTGTTTTCCGGTACCATTTGTCATAAATTGCATTATTGTGTACACATTATCACTGTTTTGGGCCAAACAAGGAGTATTTCTGGATTGCTAAGGAATTTCTATACCGATCAGTTGTATTTTGATCAAGATGTGTGCAGTAGTTTTTGAGTTAGACAAACAAGTATGAAGGGGGTGGGGGGCTTTCTTTTTTGGTTGAGTGTAGTTTAAATCTGACCCGGGACGTGTTGGAGTGCATGTTCAACACAAAGGTTTTTTTATTTGCCAAACTTAGAACGGCTACAAAATTGTCATTTGGACCCAGAAAAGTGTCAGATTGACCAGGAAAAACTAACAGGCCAAATATGACCCGGATTACAGGTTAAATCTGACCCTGGGCTTTTTGGAGTGCATGTTCAACACAAAGATCTTTTTGTTTGTTAAACTTAGAACGGCTACAAAAATTGCCTTATTTTTCATACCCTCCGTTTTTGTTTACGGTAATTTTGTTTTGCCATAAGCTTGTCGTTTAAAATGTCAACCTTGTTTAAAAAATATAGGACTTTTGTTTACTATAGTTAACTGTAAACTGTCATCAAAATGTTAAATACAAATATATTTTTATTTGCCAAACTTTGGACGGCTAACAAGTGGTCTCGTTTTGCCTTACCGGGATTTTAAACCAAATTCCTCGGCGTTGTCAACTTCACAAGAAAATGGAAATAACAAAAACTAGGCTTGCCTATAGTCGAACTGGATCGGGAAGTCTAAAAAGCTCTGCATTACTCAGTAACCCAGTCGGTCAGTCAGTGACTCAAAGGCAGCCAGTCGGAGGAAAACGGGCTGGCCCTTAATTCGCGTCCATCAAAAAGCGGTGTTTTATACTACGATGTTTTTCTCATCAATATTATTCATATATTATTCAATATTATTCTTAGGAACACATTTTGTGGACCTTTCTACTCCTCTTTAATGTATTAATCTATTTGCCATTCCTTTTCGGTTAATTATATTGAAAAGTTCCCTTTTTTAAACATTTAAAAAGTGTCCATGCTTTTCCGGACAACTGAGGGCTGTGTCATTTCAGGAAGACACTGTACAATTTCTGTTCAAATTGTGAACTCAAAAATTTGCTCATTGAAAACATCAATTTGGTGAGAAAAGTTTCCTCATTGTGCTTACTGCATGCAACAACGAATTGCCAAAGAAAATATGCGATAGCAAAACATCCGAAATTCTGGCAACTTTTGATGCTAAAATAGGTGTAATATCACGGTTTCTGCCTGAAATTACATCACAGTTTTGCTCATGAATATGTGAATTCGTATGAGCATAAAAACCAAAAGACACCAAAATACCCTTGAAAATGGCAATACGATGATTGAACATCAGGTTGAATGGGACACAAACGTGCATTGTCAAGATTGCATTGGAAGAAATTGCATTGCATGGGCCCTCTATAAGGAAACGAAAACAATGCCGACACTCATGACAAAAACTGAGTCACAACCAATATTCACTCCTTCGTTTGCAATGTATTACCGGCCCTAGTACGACCCAACCTACCTGGGATTTGGCGAAGACGCTTGCATCTCCGTGGTTCAGCCAGAAATCAGACAGCTTGACTCGCCCACCGCACGCCATTTTTATTCCAGCCACAAATTGCGTAAGCCTGCTTACTCTAGAGACACCTACGGTGCATTGTCTATGACTTATGTAGTTCTAGCAGTGCTGTACTTTGGTATGTGCAAAGAGTTTCCTTGTTCAGTATTTCCGTATCGGCTAGCTGTGGCAAAGTATCGTGTGTTGATTGCGAAACCCGGAATCACACGCAGCGATACCTTCATCACAATAATATTTAGAACTTCGCAATAAAACTGCTCAAACTACTCAGGTGTACTGGAATAAATGTTTCGATTAGGACTACAGTTTTTATGCGTGAATAAAGATAATGTTTAGTCACAGTGAAACGCTCAAAGTCCAAATGATACTCATATTGATACCATGGGATGAGTCTGTATCTAAATAATATTGTTAATCATGATGCCTCGTCTAATAAGTGGTCATAAAGTTTACTTTGGAAAGATAAAACCTCGAACTTTGTTTGTGCAATTACAGGTACTGCCTTGTTTTGTAATTATACCACTGATCACAAGGAAATAGGTCTGCAATGATCATCAAAACTGGTGCAGATGTTTTCAGCGGCGTACATACGTAACTATAGGGTTAAGCTGCTAGGGGGCACCTAATGGGGGTGCACCAATTCTTCAAGGGGGGGGGGACACTAGGAGCAATGTATATATTGTATGTGCAATTCAAGATTTCAAACGGGGGGGGGGGGGGGTCGGGCATGGACCTCCGCTGGGGGGGGGGGGAGGAGGGCACATCCCCCTTGCCCCCGGGCCCCGTAGTTACGCCACTGGATAATTTACGGAAAGCTCTTTCATTTGAATTAATACTTTATTACAATTAACATTAAATCAAGGAAAGCAACACTAACATTACAACGTAATTATAGTATAGCCAAGATATAACGTCGGAACGACGGAGAATTAAGCAGAGGGCGGTACATCCCCCTTTTTGAAAGTCCCATGAAAAAACCAACAACTCAACATACTCCCAACAAGTTCAGTTAAACAATATGAAACATATATATATATAGGCCTACAAAGAAAATGTGTAATGTACGTTTAAACCTTGTCACAACAATTTTAACCGCGTTATCATTAAAACCATGTTTACTTCCTGCCGTGTAGAACTTGGGCAGCAAAGGCCTCAGCCAAAACAAAGAAAAGGAGAAAATGTACATTTAACATTTGTTATGCAATCCTTGTATAGTTATCAAATGGTCTGAACAATACAGACCGATACCAACACAGGTTTCATTGCAGGATTTTATGTGTTCATGTGTGATTTGTTTGATTAAGATTCAATTTTGTTTTAAATGTCGGCTGTTGTAAGAGCACTCCTATCGTCAGAACGTGTATGGAAGTAGCGCCTGTGAATATAAACGCGCAGGCGATACACAGCGTAGCCTAGGAAAATAAAACCCAGGGCCTCCACGACTGAAGATACGCTTACGACCAAAGCCGTCTGACCGGCATGGGACCAGTCTACGAGATTGGGATAGATTACCGTGCTTTTTGTCTCTGGGTTCATGCCTCCAGCCAGGTAATAAATCAACGTGAAGATAGCGTACAGTAAGCCATAGACTAAGCCATAGACAAAATGGACAAGACGGACTGGGATGGCGGTGACGGCTAGCTCGGTGTATATAAAAACTGTATTGAGGATGTGTATGTTGATGTTAAACGCCCACACCACTGGCGACTGATGTGGAGGCACCAGAAAGGACCAAAACAGCACCGTGATGAGGATGTCAGTGGCAAGACAGATGTTGAACGTGAGCCAGACCAGCTTGAAGTAGATCGGCAGGCGAGGGCTGGGTGCTGGCTCTTCAGACGAAGGTAGCTGATGCAGCAGGGGGCGCCTTTCGTCCGAGGATGTTGGATCGGTATATGGGGGATGAGGAACAAATGCCTGCGATGGACCAGTGGCTGAGCTTTCATTGCACCCTACAATTGTTGAAGAGGGGGAAAAGGCTTGTAAATAGTCTAACTAAATTAAGCATATAGTTGTGACAAGATTTTTTTGAATACCGACATATGCCTTTTCCGGGGAGCAGACTTACAAATTTCCATTTTCTCTAGTATCAATCTCGCCAGACAAACTTGACACGGGCATAACAAATAACAATAACAGGCAATGACTAGAGAGGAAAAGCAAAAGATATGCGCTTGATTTGGGATTCAAAAAACGGGGTTGCTTTTGTTGCTTTTACTGACAACGGCGTTGAATAATGCACAACTCCCTTCTCAAGAGTCTCGCATCAGCTGCCCTGTTTAGGTCAGGATTAAAAACCGTTATTTTTGTTTTCAATTTTGGACTGACTTACTACTTTTTCTGCCACCAGAAAATGTGAAGTAGAATGTGCCAAAGCATGACCAGACAGCGTAGAGCGTCAGCACGATGTAGGTCCAGTTAGTGAGAAATATGAAGAACGCTCCGTCGTCCCAATAGACCACAAATTCTGCCACCAGCCACCCAGTGGTATACAAGGCGAGAAAGACCCGCCAAGCTAGGTAGATCGACTGGTGGACGGGCCACTGAATCGGAAAATTAAATAAAAGTACACGTAAAATATTTACAAGCTGAGGAGAAGTCTTTGTTACTTTCATTTCTGCTAGGTCATTCAGTTTGAGGATCACCCGTTAAACACGGAGCCAAGTCTCCTGTATAACGTCTGATATGTCTAAGCATGCAGATATATGCAAGCCGCGCGCCAACCAATCGGAGTCGACTTTACTAAATCGTGACGTCATTTCAATCCCAAATCAAGACTAATGGTTTGATTGGTCAATTCGAATGCAGTGTTTTGTAATATAACAACAACCGGGCGCTTATCGTGTAACGTGATACAGAGCGCGTGACACAGTTTTTTTTATCCATGTCTATAACACACAACGGGTGAATGACCGAAGACCCGATATAGAAAGTCTTGCATAATTTAATCACAGAATCTGTTCAAAAATTATAGACCGTGGCTTTCGCCACGGTATATTACATAGACTACCCTAATAAGGGTAGTCTATGGAATATCCCCTTACACAGAAAGGGTCTATGATAATAAGCAGATTCGGAGATTAATTATGCAAAACATATGAATGCATCTTGACCTCGAGACTCTGACCATTCAGCGGGCGCCTTCTATATCGGGTCTGTTTGTCTATTTGTTTGAGTTTGTTGAGTGGTCGGGCACAACCCGACCACTCTTTGGATCTGTTACGATTAATCTTTCTTTCTTTCTTTCTTTTTTCCGGACAATACTTCTCCGCGGGTTTTCTCTTAAACGGTATATGGTATGAACTTGTAACTTTCAATATATATCGACCCTCATCCCTAGTGGTGCATATTACTCTGACGTCATGATTACGTCATCAGGTGTCAAATTACAAGTGATTTTATCTGAAAAAGTGACCAATTACTTTCACCTATAACTCTTGAACTAAATATTCAATGATGTTTGTATTCTGCAATCAGATAGACCATTAAACGCTTAACAGTTTTTGTCGTGTACGTGAACTCGCTTGACCTTTACTTCCGGGTCTACCGGAAGGTCAAAGTTAGGTGAATTCCAAATGAAGACGTTAGCCTGACATCAAAACAAGGCAACATTTCTTCCAAACGGTTCACGGTATATCACAAAACCTTGTGTGAACTTGTACCGTGTTACGAAGATGTTATAAATTTTGTTACGTCATCATGACGTCATCAGGTATCAAATTACAAGCAATTTAAGGGCAAATTTTGACAAAATAGTTTGCTTTATATCTTGTGAACTAAATAGAGTATTGTGTTCGTTTTTTCGTGAGGTTGTAGACTATACCGTGAGAAACATTTCGTGTTCCCGGACGCAAAACTGCTTGACCTTTACTTCCGGTGTTACCGGAAGTGCAATAAAAACTGAATATAACTCAAAAGCGGAAGCATTTTACTACAGACATATATATTATGAAAGTGTTTAGTGAGGAATGCAAGATGCAAAAAGCAGTGTGATGACGTCATAATCCGAAAGGGCGCCCCCTATCGGCACATAAAATAGAGTTTCCCTTCTTTAATTGTAAAACCATCCGTCCAAATTTTATCAAATCGCCCCTTGACATTCTCTGATTAACCACAGATAACTTGGCAAGGTTTCAAATTCATGACGTCATCAGACCGGAAGTTGCCTTAAGGAGAATTTGAAAAAGATCATAGTTTTAATTTAATTCTATCATTTGATCCCTGTCATATTTCCGAAGTCCACATAATGATATCCATTACAATGTTCACCTTTGGATCTCTAATGCTGTGATGTCATCAAACCGGAAGTTAGGTGTTATCAATACGTCATCAAACCGGAAGTTAGGTGTTATTAATACAAACAATTATATTTCCCATATTTTCATACGTTATTTTAACTTTACAATGAGAAATTATCCTCTCCGAACTTTATCAGTATTCATTCACCATTTTTGACTGATGACGTCATTAAACCAAAAATAACTTTTTGTGCACATAGAATGTTTACTGAATTTTATTACACCGTTAAAGATACCTTTTTGAAACATTGATTGTACTTGAAGGGTTTTAATGTCCTGATCCTTTTTTCTACATAAACATATATTCTTAACTTAACTGGGCAGTGTATAATGAAAAGGCTGTCCGCCCGACCACTCTGCGTTTGTAACTAAACAAACGCGAAACTCTAGTTTGTTTATGTATCTAAAGCTTTTGTTTTTTTGTGTTGTAACTTTAGTCATTTGTTTACATGTATTTGTTGATTTATTCCCGAGAAATAAAATAGTATAGTATAGTATAGTTTTCTGTAACCCGTTGTGACATCTAATAAAACCTGGACACAACATCTAATATGCTTTTACGTTGTGAATTGTGTAAGCAAAAATAGGCTGCGTCATGCGGCCTGTAACGACATGTTATGGGATGCGCCAACGTCCTCTCGCTTTGAATGATCGACCAATCAACAGCTTTGTCCAGATTTCAGAATGAAAAGACGTCACGTCGTCTCCGATTGGCTGGCGTGCAAGTGGCATAAGGCATGATTAGATATATCAAATGTTGCATGGTGGGACAATTGGGTGATACTCGACAATTAAAGGGAGCTGGTAAAAATTCCTGTACAAAAATCTTTGAAAGGAAACGAAGACGCCGCAAAGCATTGTGGTTAGGTCACTTGCCGTGATAAATTAACACACAGTCGTGCGCACAGGCCTTGTGGACGTTGAAGTGTTAGTGCCGGGTACACCAGGGTAACCCCAAAAAACATCCAATGCGAGCTCAAAGAAATTAGAGGTCTCAAGCGAATTAAGGTTGCACTCCAAAAGGCAGGCCGGTAAAGGGACTCCAAATTTCATGCGCGGGCCAAATCACGATTTGCATTCCCTCAATAGTGAGTTTTGTGGCCCATGCATGCATTTGAGGATTTATAAACCGATCAAAGTGTGGCGGCTCCTCAAAGGAGTTTGAGCTGGTATTTTTGTGACTGGATTATAGAGCCTAAAATTGTCTGTGTTCCACTGGAGTGGAAGATCTCTTTTTTTCTTAAATGGCGACGGACCTCATGGGTACTTTTATAGGGATCATCACATTCTTTGGAGTGAAATTTCAGCGGTTAACCCTCTCCTAAAAAGAATGAATAGAAAGTGGGAGGTGATGAAATTTGCTTGTTTCATGCATGCCTTCAACACCGCAGGGAGTTGTGAGTATTTGTCCTGATTTTTTGAAGTGAGGACATTGATCATTTGGGTCTTTTTGGTCTGCACCCGAAGCACTGAACGAATGGCGCTATAAGTACAATGTATTGTCCTTGAAGTTTACGATCGACCGCGTTATCATTGAGAGTGTACATGTATGTCTACCTGTTACTTGAACACAGCGAAAGGCGTCAATTGCATGCACAAGTTATGACTTTCAGTTTTCTCTTTTGATGACTAGCAGAACTAGAAGGATATTGATTTTATAACGCAATTTGATAATAACGGTCAGTCATTTAATGGCAAAAGATACTATGAACATGCTGAATGTCATGAGAAACATCTCTGACTTCACGACTCCCCCCGCCACATAAACCACTAAAGGAGTGTCATTCATCAGTTTGGTTTCTCCAACATTATGCAAATTACATTTGTCATCGTCAGTTCTATACTGGTCAACTTCATTCGGTTTCTCCATGGTTGAACCGATTAAGTGACTCAATATGGCTGCTCCATCGGTCGATGAAAATGATTACAATATTCAGTGCATGATTATCAAAAGTGCTGGCCAACGTACTGTTCAAGTTGGCAGTGAATACTTCCGGTTACTTAAACCATGGAGGGGGGAATTGCCCTGCTGGTCCTAGGTCGATGAAATTATTACAATGGTCACTATTTCATTACCAACCTGAGATTTTGCGAAGAGGCTCGCATCTTCGTGGTTCAGCCAGAAATCGGACAGTTCGAGTCTGCCACCGCACGCCATTAAAACGTCTGCCGTTAAAAAAATGTAGACCACCTCGGTATTATGCACGTGTACTGTCCTTGTTCAGTGACCTTCTATATTTGTTGTCATTGTGTTTTGAGGGTTGCGTATTTAGTTCCCCTCCAGAAGTGAATGCATGTAAAATTTCGTTTTTGGCCAGTGTTCTCATGTTTATAGCTCCATGGTGTTCTTAACAGACGCGTCATGCGTCAACGTGGCGTTAACCAGACTACATGTACATGTACTTCACGAACGACCCCGGCCTGGTGCCAAATTCGAAAACTTTTATGAGTGATTCCGATGATAGCATTTTCCGCAAGTACGTTTACGTCAACCCCTGCATCAAAGAGTGCTTAATAAATCAAACTGTTAAAGAAGTAAAGCATAGGGATGATTGCTTGGAACGGAAGAAGGAGTAGGTTATGAGATACTTTAGCCCAAATTTAGGGAAAACGGGGAAAAAAGGAGTAATTCGGGGTAAATAGCAACGGGAACAGGCAAGGGACAAGCAAGGGGCGATTAACATCGTATTTTACTGTTTAAAAACTCACTGAATACCCCGAAAAAAAGAAAGCTCGGCCTATAAAAATGAAACATACTTTACTTCAAATTAGGGAATCATTAAATTTCGTTTATTTACTCATAATATCTCGGAATTCATTTATGAATGAATAGCATATATAATTTATCATTTCAAACATTTTTTTTCATTCATGTCTGGAACATTACTACAAATGGTGACTGCTCTATGTTCCGACACCCCTATGTTTCGACACCCCTATGTGTGGACAACCCGCACATTGATTGTATTACTCCCGGTTAGGGTTAGGGTTAAGAATATGTGCAATTGGAACATAGGCGTGTCGGAACATAGGGATGTCGGAACATAGGGATGTCGGAACATAGGGGTGTTGGAACATAGGTGTGTTACCTTTACAAAATCATGGTTGCTAGCACAAACAAACAGCTTTAGTGTAACAAAACGGCAACAGTTCCCACATGCAACTACATGTACCAAAATTTGTAAGATTTTTTTAATTGCCTACTGTTCTAGTTTAAGACGAGATAGGGGCCTAACTATGTATAAATCAAGTTTAGATTCCCATTCCCAAATGTAACTATCTATTCTTCAAGGTTTGAAGATCTTTGAAATTTTATAATATATTGACCTAAATGATGAACATTTCAAAACATTAAAATCATATACATATAATATGTCAAGTTGCAATACTTAGAGTTTCATTCTAGCCTGCAACATGACCTTGCTTACGGTTCCTACACTACACAGACTATACTGAAAACTACATCACGCTACACTTGAGTTCTCAGTGTTACAATATCTATTTTGCAAATCAAGTTAAACTCGAATATTGTTTAAATTTAAATAATGTTTGGTATTTTCCAATATTTTTAGTTATTTAATCTGGTAATGTTGCGATTCTAATAGTTTCAATCCAGCACTGCAACCTATTTGTTGCAATCCTCATGGTTCAAACACAACACAAAATACTGAATACAAAATACATTGTAATTGCACCTTCATAAAGCACAAGCGGTAGGTTTTATTAGCAAGGGCTGACCCTGGCCATTGGAGTCTTTAAGAAAATCAAGGAATAGAAGACAAAAATACAGGCAGTACATATTATTTATGTCAGCCACTTTGGCTGGTACCATCTGTCGATTGGGGCGCTGTTCAAAACCGATGCTTAAGCACACTAAAACGCACAATACATGCTGCTTTTCAGGACAATACGTGCACGAAATTCAAATAAAGGCACCTGTAAAACATCTGATAGCACAAAAAAGGGCATGAACAGAGGCATAGGCTCAGAAAAAAAAGGGCACTTGTTGACAAAAGAAGGGCACTCTTTTCAAATATTGGGGGGGGGGGCCATAAGCGCTGGTTAAAAAAATACTGCAAGTGAAACTTGCGCGATCCCCCTAGCATGCTGGCAGTTTTTATAGAGTCAGTAATAGTACGGATACTTGTCAGTGATGTCCTTAACCAAAATTGAAGATTCTAATGCTTTAGCAATAGTGACCTTGACCTTTGACCTGTTGGCCCAAAAAGCAATAGGCTTCTTAAGACTATCAAGAGCAACCCACAAACCAAATTTCAAATTTCAAGTTCCTAAGTAAAGTATTTCTCAAGTTATCGCACTGACAAGAGTTCTATTGTTTTAGCAATAGTGACCTTGATCTTTGATCTGTCAGCCCCAAAAGCACTAGGCTTCTTAATTAAGACTACCAAGAACAACCCACAAACCAAATTTCAAATTTCAAGTTCCTAAGTAAAGTATTTCTCAAGTTATCATGCTGACAAGAGTTAACCTAACAAAAACGTTACACACACACAGACAGACATATTTGTTTGTGGTGTAAATCGAGGATTTTCTATTGTTCGTCTTTCCTTTTCCTTTATGACTTTTTCGCAACAGCTCTCATTGGTTTTGTACACATTTTCTAACCGAGGAGTCCTCGATTTGGTTCCTGTCCTCAATTCATCGATGATGTTGCGCGTGTGTGTCCTCGATTTACACCATAAACAAACGCAGACATACATACAGACATACACACAGAAGGAATACACTATCGCAATATCCCCCTCCGGCTTACAGCCAGGGGGATAAAAAGGGCATTTGAATGGAAAAGGACAGTCTTACAAAATGTTCAGGGGATAAAGCCATACAGAGCTAGGGCAGGTTTGGGACGGTACAGGGAGTAACAGGCAGGGTGGTTTGGGGCAATAACGGGTTAGCATCTTCATGAAGGGAAACTGATGTTATCCTCTTTGACTGAAAAAGATGAACTACTCCGCCTTCTTCGTCAGTGTCCTCCTGAGGTGCGTCCACTTGAGGATGTTGACGGCCAGCAACAAGGCGTTGACGATGTAGGTGGAGATGCAGACCAGGCAGGCATCCTCCAGGACGACCACGAGGATGTAGGCCAGGTAGACGGAGCCAAAGTTGGACAGGATGGACGTCATTATGAGGAAATTAGTGGCCGACAGGGTGTGGGTCTGACCTGGGTGGTAACCAAAAGATGAATGGACCGATTTGTTAGTCACTGGCGCTTATAGTGTCAAATGAGACCCAGCACTTGGGGTGTGCATCAGAACCGGGTACCCGAGTACCCTGCCGCAGGAACCGGTTCCAGATTATGGGATCTGGTACCCATCATCAACTAATCAACGTTTTGAATGCCATTTGTGGGGAATTTCAAAATGAAAACCAGGCTACATCATGTACATATACATGTATGGAAAACCAAACAGATTTCGCGCTTATGTGCATTTTGAGGTTGCAAATCCTTAAGACTGCGCTGCACACACTTTCTGTGGTGATGCACAAATATAGTATAAGAAGTCTTATCGTGCCCTCCTTTATGACCATGTTCTGAACAGCAACTTTCGGGATCTGCATGCTGGGGTTGGGTCAAGTGCGGATCCAGAACACAATTTGGGGGGGGGGGGGCCAAAAAAGAATTTGGTCCCCCCCCAAAAAAAAAATTTGGATTCTAGATGCTCTGTGGTGCGATCTGAGGCAATATCTGACCACTTTAACCAATGTTTTTTTGAGGAAAAGATGGTGGTGTACTCATTGCCTGCCTTTATTGTGATGTCATATGAAAAAAAAAATTGGTTTCGTTTGGAGGGGGGGGGGGGGCATGGCCCCCTTTGGCCCCCCCCCCCCTGGATCCGCCCTTGGGTTGGGTATCAGTGTTTTACTTCAGTTGGGTGCCTCGCGCCCATACTACCCATAAATGCACACCACTACTCCATTTGAAATTTGTAATGGCTGGCCAACTGGTCTGTGCACCGCTGTCTTATTTATTTGCCTGCCAAAAATTATGTTCTGGATTCTCCCGAACAGTCCTGAAGGTCAGTTTTCTAATTTGAAGGTTGGGGCTAGGAGGTTGAAAGTTCCCCCTTCCCACCCCCCCCCCCCCCCAAAAAAAGATGATAGGGGCCTACACCTTGATTGCAACATTGGCACTGAAGTGAACTGTTGCAGAGTTAATCATATTTCTTACAGAAAAAAATATATTCTTTTAAAAATTAGATTCCAGAAAGTTCAAATATTTAATCAGAACTGTGAACTAAATCAAGCGTGGGTTTAATTCAAATATTTGTCTCAGCTGGGAATGGTTTAAATCTCAATGATTTGGGCTACTAGCATCTTCTGTTTATCTTAATTGATCCAGCTCAACTATCCTAAATTCCCCCCCCCCCCCCAAAAAAGGGAAAAGAATTGCCCTCACCCCCAAAAAGTACAAGAAATAAAAGCACTTCAAAATATATAATGCACTAACACGTGTATTAATTACAGAGTGCCACGTCACAAAACCAACGGCAGTATTAATGAGGTTTCATTAGTGCAAAACTGGAACTAATTTGAGTCTCAAAAGTCAATCACCGTGTAAATTGCTTTCATGAAAATACACTGGTACTTTGTACAGAAAGCCTTTCTAATTACACGTAATAAATACACACTGTATACTACCAGCATGTTATGTGTGGTAATGAGTTTTAGCATTGTAAAACTGGTTGTTTAATATCTAGATCTGTCTGACTACTGGAATACAGCACTTTTTGTGTGTGACATTTTCAGGATGTACACAAATGTACTGATTCCAATAAATGGGAAACATATATGTTTTCCTTGTATTATTTCAAGTCAACTCCCTTGTACAAAATTGAATTATTCTGCTTAAAAAAAACAGAAATACCCGGTATTATTTTTGCTGATTGACAGCAGAATATTAATTTTGCCACACAATATTCATCTTATAACTACATACATTCTTCATCCGAGTGTAATCTTCTACACAGACCTTATGAAATTCACACAATATGAAACCCTTCCAACACAAAAAATAGCTGGGCCTAAGTTAATTAGAATTTTCCATTCATTGCCACACGTGGCCCCTTATCTGTTGACAAAAGTGTACGTGTACCAGGACCTATCGCAGAATTTTAATTGTTTTTCAAAGGCAATGAACTAACCTTTATAATAATTTTAAAATGTTAACAAGGCTGGTAGTTGTGTTTAGTGAGTAAAATATGCAACATTTTATCAGACCTTTATGTAATATTTGACAACATTTGCTTTTGCTGTAACTTAAGTTTCAGAAAGGGAAGGATTTGGGGGTATGTATTTTATAGCAGATATTGTTACACTGGCCTGTTTAAAGGTTTTTGTTCGTACATGTACATGCTGGAAAAACCAAGAAAACAAATGTTGTTCATCTGACTCTATGTCAGATGAACCAGAGCAATTTATAGACGTCAGGATTTCTTGAATATGACATCACACCAGGTGCCATGATTTCATAGTATGCTTGTGACTAGTATTATTTACTTAGGCCAAATAATTTTTTTTCTCTAGCGTACCCACCCACTTCCTTTTTGAAGGCCGCCTCCTTTTTTTTTCCTTTAAAAAAAGCAAAAATGTCGACCGATCCATCGTAAAATCAAATACTTGCAAGTTGGAACTTCTAATTCTAGACACTATTGGTCACTTTCCACATCATGCATGTATGCAGTCGACCGTGCAATCTCCAAACCAGCCTCGACATGGACAAGAATGCCAGCGCCGCAGTGTTTTTTTATTTTTTTGTAAAACTGTGCTGGAAAACTAATAATAATAATAATAATAATGGATATTTATAAAGCGCTACTAAAACTACTAAAAACACTGTAAATAAAATATGTTTCATTCTCTTGTCCAGCATGTCTGTTTCATTTTTTGCATCTTTGAACAGTGTAAAAACCAATGGTTGTCGGCTATCTTGGAAAAAAAAAAAAAAGCCCCGCCTCCTCCTTTTTTTCAAAAACCTGGACGCTAAATATGTGTTTGTTTTACTTGGCCTTACAGTTAAGTAAGGTATTTCATAATAATTTGGTACTTGTATGTAGTTTTGTTTTTTGATGTTTGCAAATATCTTTAAATTGAGTTCAGTTGGAAAAATCTCCATGTCACACTTTTTGGGGGGGGGGGGGCGAGGGGGGGGGCGGGAGGTTAACTCTGATTACAAAAGCAGTGCTCAATACAATGACTTACCGATTACAACTTGAAGAATATAGAAGAGAATGCCAAATATACTGTTGGGTTGGTTTAGTATATGTCGTTCACCAAGTATAGAGCCAACGATGCCAAATCCACGTCCATATCTGTAGAGTTAAATAAATGGAATCAATTTATATGCTTCTAAAATCCTGTTTTAAGGACATTCCAAAATCTGCTACTATTGCAGTTATTCTGTGGTTATGTTGGATGGTGTTAGAAATTAACCTTTTCAAGGCATCCCTTCGAACTAAAACCCGTATAAATTAAATGAGTGACTGCATTCCATCAAAATCAGAATTTCAATAACTCAAGTTTAACTGTTACAGTTTAGGCCTTGGAAAAAATGTTGCAACCTGACGCCACATTTTTCTTCATATATCATCTCAATGAAGGTCATTCATTGCAAAAATAATAGGGCCTAAGATATGAATCTGGGACTGAGAAACATTTCCAATTTTGTAAAGAAATACTTCAAACATTTCTTGACTATCCATAGACTTTGTACACAATCACGGAAGTGGCTTCAGGATGCAACATTTTTTCCCCAACATGCTATTGCTAAATGGCATTTAAACAAATAACAGGAATATTCAGTTTTCAGAAAATATATTTTCTTCCTAAAACCGAGGTTCGGAATAAATCATAAAACAATGTCGAAACCGGTAACTAAGCTTAAAGCTAGGCAAAATTAGCTTGAGTAACTCCAGCTCTATCTAATGCCTATAGGCATTAGAGCTGGAGTTACTCAAGCTAGGCAAAATCATACCGCTGCCTGAAACATGTACTTAATCACTGTTTCAGGCTGCAATGATTTTAGTGATGTAGTGAATGATTGAAGCCAGTACAATGTAGAAGCTTCACTCATTCACAAGTGTATTTTCACAGCTTCCAAGGCCAAGCTCTTATTGTTAGTTACTCACTTTGACGTGAAGACTTTGGAGCAGCTGATGCTCTTCCCAATATCACACATAGCCGTGTAGTCCGGGTTGGACTCCTTGCTGGTTTCCACGTACAGCGCGTAGATTGAAAGCACCGTGCCGACCAGGCAAAGCCCCCATCTCGCCAGCATATGGGACATCGGCATCTGCACTTTACTTGCTGTTGATGTGCTGGGATTTCCCATCGTTATCACGCTGCAGCAATTAACACCTGTGTGCCGTATGGTGATTTAATCACTCTGATTGTCACCAGATTTTATCTAAATCTACCGGTATATATCTAGTTCTTTCTATTGACTAGATACATCGACCGTGCGCGCCCTACCATGCCAGCGATCGATTGATCGGCACCTTACCCCCGCCGCCCGCAAAATGACATAAGAAAATTATTACACGTGTTTATAAACAGCGACCTCAAGTGACCTGGTGCCAAGAAATGTTTTGGGTGTTTTCGAAATCTTGATTCGTCTCCAGCGTCGGCTTCATCCCTAGCTTTAGAATCATTCAGAAGCCTTTAATCCCTACAAAACGTGGGGCGCACTAGTAAATGCATTTCCATGTAGCACGCCAATGTTAACAATGTAATTTGAGTGACCAAAATCCCCACCCTGGGGCATGAAAAACGTGACCAAATCCCGACATCAGACCTGGGGCAATGCAGGGGGGGGGGGGGGGGGGAAGGGGGGGGGGGAAGATTTGATAGGCGCATAATGTAACAGCTTGAAACCTCAAAAGTGACGGCACCAAAGTGCAAATGCTTTGCATGTTGAGCCTCAAATGCCCGCGTTCAGGGACTATGCAAATAAAAATTGAAAGCACACCATCTTACTTAATAAGACTAACCTTGTTATTTTAATGAAAACTTATATTTGCATACATACAAAGCACTTTTTTAAGAAAAGATCTCAGTACAAAAACCAAAACAAGACAATTTGTTAAAATCATGTACGATGCAAGGCACTTGTTATCAAAAGGCACAAATTATACAAATATCTGTTGCTGTGAAAGACATTAATAAACAGTTAAAAAAAGGCCCTGAAAGGTCTAAATTATGGTGAAAAAGACTTGACTACAATTATCACATTTTGCGAATCAAACCATTTAAATATACATCAACCACCTCTATTATAAGATACCACACAGAAAATGTGATCAACACGCCAATATTTGGATTTCAAATATAAACCAACTGAGTTGCATATAAGAATTGTGTTAGTAGTGATCAACAAAAACACCAGTTCACATGGAAGGAATTTAGAATTTTTCAGTTCTGATGAACGTTTGAATACCTGTACTTATTTTAAATAAAAATGCCGGTTCAAGTACTTAGTGTCCACATGTTTTGTTCATATGAAAATATTTCTTTGTGTATTTAAACCACATATTTCGATTTGACTGAAAGGCAGTAATTTGAAAGACAAAGTAAACTATATTTCAGAGAGATTTTAGAAAAAGCATCACACGTCACAAAGTATATACACAATGATGCTACAACCCAAAATTTACAGAAGTAGAATGCAAATATAGATTACAATAACAAAAACAACATGGTGAAGCATATCATAACTTAAACTGTTTAACAGTAAGTTTTTCTGATTAAATGTCTAACCAAAATCAACGGAAAGAGCAACAAATCAAGGTTTCTTTATGTGGGACTTTGTTTGAACAATAAAAGGCCAACATGTCGAAAAACGAACTTCTATGCAGCCAATTTAGTTAGGAACAACCTTAAGTACAGAATTCGATATTGCTACACATCCTGAAGTTTATGGTAAAATGAAAAGAGTCTTAACCATTTTTTTAACAAGCAAATCATTTTTGACAACTTTGCACCTTTTTTAAGATCCAAATCACGAAAAATAAATCCTTCAAGACTCATATGTATGACAAATTATTTAGAACAAATCAAATGTACAAACTAATTTGGAAAGTCAAAACTGCCAAACTATGCACATCGAACATAAAAAAAAAACTGTAATAAAAAAAAAAAAATTGTTTCCTGAGAAAATGCTCCATGATTTTACTGACACTTGTTGCCCCAAAAAATATTTCATTGTCCTGCAATCACAGGAATGGGAAAGCCAAGTGCAACACACAAAACAGTACTGTGAAGGGAAATGTGTATTATGTAGTTGGACTTGTTGACCAACTTGACCAGATGCGCTCGATTCTGAGAAAAACATCCATCTTATTTGTATCCTTCGTTTGTAAAAACATCCCTTTTGAAACATCAGGTTTGCTACACTGTACAAATGTAAATACATCCCTGAAAATTTAATATTCCATTTCCAAATGAATACCAATTGCTTTCTCACTGCCTTTAGTTTTTACACAATAATTTTTCAAACCACCCACTGCCAGAACATTCATCAAACAATTAACGACAGATAAGGCACATTATTTTTAACACAAAAATTCAATTAAGTACACTTCATATCTCAACAGTATTTAAACCCACCTTGCCACCTTTACAGGACACATAAATCTATTTCACAAAAAGTGTCCGCTTTGCATTGTAAGTACGTTGAATAAATCTCACCTTAATAAAACACATTCCACTTAAAAAAAAAAGACCAGAAACAAGATAAGAATTTGCATAGAAAAACTTTAGTTCCAAGTATTCAAATCTTTCAGTTTTAATAAGGATGGAGAGAAAACCAAAGTAGATGTCTCTTAGGCATACCACCAATGTAAGAATAGGTGACCGGCTCCACGAAAAAGGGTATTACGTCGCAAAAAAAGTGAAATTGAGTTATATACATGGTTGGAAAGCCCTTTCATTTGGTATATAATAGAGCTCCATAGCTTCTCCCGTTCTGGAGACATGACTTATTTGTATAATAATTACCTCCTTGGAGTTCGAATTACACAACAGAGAAAACAGGCTTTGAAATAGCTGGCTCTGTTGTAGAACAACAGAACGATGCACATAAAATGGTAGTTTTTTTCCTACTTTATTTATCAAAATCAACATTTCTGTGAATGAACCCTGAAACTGTAGGTTTTAAAGATGTCATTCATGACAAAAAAATGAAAATCACATTTTTTACAAGATTTTCACCCTCTCAACACTGAGCGGGCCATTACACAATAATGCACAGCACGACTTAATACCCTTTTTTGTGGAGCCGGTCACATATATAATTCTGAAACTGTTTTGTTAACTACATAGTTCTGAAGACATTTTGCATAGTGGTTGTGGAATTATGCAATAGCTGCATGTCATGTGATTGTCTGCAAGTTGTTTGATTGGTGCTGAGGTGGCCATTTGGACTGACCATGTTGTGATGTCATGTCGTTTAGCATATCTGGATGCAACTGTTGAGGAGCTGGTTTGTCTGTCTGTGATTTTCGTTGTTTCTTTTTCCTGTACAAACATGAACACATCAAGATTTTGTTATTTTTTAATGATAAATTGGTCTCAATATGATCAGTAGGGAGAGATACTAATTTAAAAAGTTAAATGTTTTCCAGGTGAAAATCGTTTTGGAGAAAGTGCCCACTTGATACTCGACAAATGTTTGAGTCAAGTCGATTCATAAGGTAAGGTTGAGACATACTTCAAATGAAAATGAACGCAAAGCCAATTTCATGATGTCGAAAACTGCAGTTTAATTAAGAAAGTCGCTGTTAACCTAATGAATCAAGCCAAAATTGTTGATGCTACAAAATTTGGTGTGCTTTTGCACAGATTATGAAATAGTGTTTGTAAAACAAAACAAGCCCTTTCTTTCACTTTGTGTTTTGTTATAATCTTTAACAATACAAACACACATTTTTAAGTTTTTTAGAAAGGCCTTAATTTTCTTAACTTTTAAAAGGAGGGTTTTTAATGTTGGTATGAACATGCATGATACTCACCTCAAATCCTCTACTTTTTTTCGCCACATTTGCCATTCCCTTTCCAGCTGGTGGTTGTATTCTTGTTCAAGTCGCAGTTCATTTGCCAGGTGGAGGGAAGAACTCACAGAGACCTTCAGCTGTTCAATGTGATGCAGTGCTGCATAAAAAAAACACACCACAATTTTGTTTCTAAACAAAAATAATTTGATATAAGATTTGAGGCTTTGCATGGTGGGGTATCGGTATCATTTCGGTTTGCGGTAACACCATGTGGTAATAACTACTGCTTAGAAGATATTAGTTCTGAGAAGAACTTGTCCTGCTTATTATCAACTTTGCTAAGTAGTTTTTTGTTCTGTTAAGAACAGTCCTGCTGTAAGCTCTAAACCAAGCCAACTGACACAGTCGAGCGAGCAGGACGCTCAGCGGGCATCCCTCAACACAATGCCCATGGCTCACAACCAACTGACACACCCGAGCGAGCAGGGCATGCCCAGCAAGCACTCCTAATCCTAACAAATCCTACTTAAGGAGTAGCATCTCCACCAACTTCAGTCTCCTGACGATGACTAGAGCAGGCTAGTCGAAACGTTGAGACCAAAGACAAGTTCGTTTAGAACTTACAGCAGGACTGTTCTTAACAGAACAAAAAACTACTTAGCAAAGTTGATAATAAGCAGGACAAGTTCTTCTCAGAACCAATATCTTCTAAGCAGTAGTTATTACCACATGGTGTTACCGCAAACCGAAACGATAATAAAAATGATTTGAAAATGTATATTTTCGTCTGATTTAGAATTCCAAATTTGGTGAACCTTTGACCTTAGAAACACTGTAATAATGCTTTACCATTCGAGCTAACTATCCCTACATGTATATGTTGGCGGTCTAAAACTTATTTTAATTTTTTTTCTCAAGTTGCACTAGTCAGAAGCCATGGAACCTAGTCAGATACCCAATTTGGTTTATTTCATGATTTAAAATGTTTTTCAAGCTCTTATTTAAAAGCAATTTTGGTATTTATTTTATCAGTATCAATTTGAAATTTGTTTCAATTTCCCACCAAAGTTTTCTGCACTTACTGTTTTTGAGTATAACATTCCTTGAGAATGGCGTGCGACCCTCCACATCTTGTAACCCTGGCACCAACAGTCTGAGGTTGCCGTACTGCTGCTGCAGGTCCTGCCGCCGTTTCTTCTCAGTGAGTTTCTTGCCGTCCCTGCGAACTTTGACCTGTGGCAAATTCCAAAGACTGGTCACAGTTTTTTACAAACTCATTAATAGGGACAAATAATTATCGTTATTCTATTAACCCTAACTCCCTAGCATAATTTACAAGGAACCGTACCAATTCTGGCAAATTCCAACACCCACATGGGAAATTGTACACACACACTGTTGGACTTAGTTTCTGGAGGTATGCCAACCCCAGTGTAAAAGACCGTCAGTTTAGGGGTACTCTACCTATCCCAACAGATTTTAACAAAACCTGCTGTTGGGCTTTGATGGGTTGAGTTCGGTTAGAGTTAAGCGATAAGGGTGTGTATATGTATGTGAGTTTGTTTCTGCATTCAATAGGGGACGTTGAACAATAGAGGACAATAGGTCCCCAATTCCCGAGAGGTCCCAAATTTGGATGTACAAAACATATGGGAGGTCTTCCTAAAAAGTTAAAGTACAAACAAAGAGGGACAATAGGGGGTCCCTGACTGCAGGCAAATACACACTTGGGTGTGTATTATGTGTTGACCGTTCATACATACATGTACATGTAAGTTGATCACCCGCAAAGCAGGCAACAGGCAGTGAAGCGGCTTCCTACGCATATAAAGAGTGCGAGGCGGAGGCTCATCACATACAAATGTATGTAACCGTCCAAAATCCTATTTGCAGCAATGAGGTACAAATAGAGCCAAGAATACCACTACAGTAGACCGCCACTATAACAAACACGATGGGGTCCGTAAAAAAATGTTCGTTATATTGATTGTGCATTATAATAAAATTTGCTATTTCGGGAGCCAAATGTTCGCTATAGCGGTGTGCGTTATAGCGGTGTTTTACAGTACTATACATGGTACTTGATGCCCCTTGAAATAAAACTCTGGTCCCAGTTTTATGAAAAACAAAATTACCTGGACTAGGTCCTTTGCCTTTAGCTACAGTTCAAAACAAAAACTTGGGTTAGGAGGATATGATGTGTTTAAAATATTTGTTTTGAGGGCCTAATTTTCGAACAACTTTGGGAAAGAATCAGACCAGGAATTGACAAATTTGGAAAGTTGTGATGGGAGTCAGTGTAACAAAATCTTGGTAAAAGTTGCTAAAATAAAAAAAATTAAAAAACAGAAACGTACGATATCCCCCAGCTTCCGGAGACCTGGAGAACCATGCCTACTAGCACTGATATTCAGTTAAGGTACTTGGAGTGTATAAAAGATAAAACTAACACTCCTTCCCAAACAAACTAGATAATATATTGGCATACATCAAACTTATGAACTTCACAATCCTCCCCCATTTTGAAAAAGAAATTGGAAACAATTCTAACCTTCAACTTTCCATAGAACTCCTCATCTTGATAGTTCTCAGGGGAAAATTGAGTGTCTCGATCGCTGCTTGAAGATGAAGGCGATGAATACAGATCTTCAGGGCCCACCCCAGGGCTCGTCCCTCTGTTGTTGTTGTTGTTGTCGCTCCTCGAAGGGTCAGGCTCGTAAAACTCCGAGGAAATGCCAGGGCTGCTGGTCAGGCTCTGCGATTCTGAGTCCATGGTAAGCTCCCCCACTGATGTGGCAGGATGCCACTAATCATCTTACGGGTCTGGCCAAAAGGCTGCCGTATTCAAGCTCCAGAGATTGTTTGTGTCAGCCTCGAAGGTGCATAGTTAGAGCTTATTACTTCACTCTTCGGAAGGGCGAGTCCCAAAAATCTATTAAAAAATAGAAAGAAAAAAAAAAACCAAAACAATCAGACACCATATCATTCAACTTTGCCAGGACATCTCATACAGCAGAGTTCAATGCATCAAAACACTTCATAAAAATGTCCACTTGCGTCATAGTTACTTCAACTAATATTTTAAGGCCAAGTAAAAAAAAAATGTTTTAAAGTATCTCGTCTGGCTTATGAAAAAATGAAGGAGGCGGGCGCACTTTTTTCCTTTCTTTTTTCTTAGAAACAAATGAAGAAGACAATAAATCAACAATATATTTACAAATATTGCAAATGTATGAATAAAAAAAGAAAAGGGAAAAAAAGAAGGCGGGCAGAAAAAATGAGCAGGCGGGGACAAGAAACTGGTTTATTTATTTTTTACTTGGCCCCAACTTTTGAATTAGCTCATTTTGAAAAATGCCAACCAAAATCCAATTTCCCCAAGAATTGATAAGAGGTAGAATGCCGTATTCTGGCCCAAATCTATATGTTAACTACATGTATGGCCTCTACATTACGTTTACATGTAATTACAAAATAAAATAGTCATTCATTTCCACGGCAAGACGTGAAAAAAAAATAATAAAAAAGTGAAATAATAGCTTGATTTGATTTATGAATGATAAAAGGTAAGAATGACTTTGAGATTGAGGAACATTTCCTAGTGTAAAAGATTACGTCCACAAATTTCAATCATACTTTTTTTTTAGCATGTTTATTTAGTAGGCTACATTCTGTTGTCCCTTATTTTTTAGGCTAGCATATACACTTGCCTGTAAATCCCACTCCAGTCAATTTCTTTGTTCAACTTTATGATCACAACAAAGCACCACCCTTTGTGGTTTATATGATTATCCCACAATGCAGTGACTAAAGTCAATGATACTTTTTTTTTATAGTACTACACTTCCGCACGCGCAGTACTGTATTGTGAAATGCCAATGACATTGTTTTTGTGCGAAATGAGCATGACTAAATTTGAGTGGGCAAGAAGTGGTTGTTTCCCGTCGTTTTTGCCAATGAATGGTCATCTTAAATTGAAGGTAGGACACACATGATATGACTTATTAGCCTTAACATCAGTTCAGTTTGACAAAATAGGCATCATTGCGTAACTTTCTTGAGATAAGATCATTTTTTATTAATGGCAATTTACCTGTTCCAGTTCAGTCATGTCGTGGATTTATTGTACACACAAAAATGCATTATGGGTAGGTCAATATGAATAATTCATAAAACGCATAGCGCATTACGACATACACCAGACGTTCTATTTTTAGCAACAGCAAGTAGCCAGTATAAAAATGGAGGATATTCACGTTCCCGTATTCCTTGCTCCATTATTGTAAACACTCCGACTAGTTTATCAGGGAAACCAGCTGTTTATCCGCAGTGAGTGATGTTGTTTTTGTCACATATATTTGTCGAATTTATTAACATTGAGATCCAGATTAATCCGATAAATAACGGTGGGCACAACGTTTTGTGAATTGTGTTCTCCGCCATGCATGTCCGATATAACGCTGTCAACATGGTCAAAGCGTTGTTGCACGTACGTCCATATATTGAATAAATGATATTATGTACAGAATGTTTACTAACTCATACATTCTTACATTGTTCTCTTACTAATATTTTAATTGTGTTTTAACATGTTTAACATGTTTAATAATTTTGTGTGAGCTGGGATCATCATCCATTTTCTCACTGAATGGATCACCCAGGATAAGTAAGAAGATAGTGGATATTTTGCCGGAGGTAATGAATGACGGCAAACTAACGATTACTAAAGGTTTGCCGGCGGCAATCCATATCAACAGAGGGCGCTGTACTCTTTAAAATAGGGCTGAATTATAAGATGTATTAAATTCCCACCAAAAGTTGTGTAGCACGTTTGGTGTAATGGTTCAGCAAAGGCTCTAGTAAGCGGGATGACTCGCGTTCGATTCCGACCGCACCACATTTTTAAGTGTTTTTTTCTCATCCCAAAATAAATAAGAATATTCTTCTTTTATTATTTTAACATGTCTCAAACATTTTTTGCAGAGTATTACATTTTCTTTTTCAGATTTGTGGCTCTGGAGGATTTTTTTTAAAAGGGAAATAAAGTCCGAAATTATAAAATGGTCTGAATCCCATCTTGTGAATACGAGGTAACAACGATAATTTTGGCATGGAGCCAGACTAAAATTTGTCACCGGAAAATGTTTAAGTACAAAAAAACAGTAACTGCGCATGTTCAGTGCATATCCGGCAAACTAACATTTACTAAAGGTTTGCCGTCTCCGGCAAAATATACACTGCCAAATAAGAAATAGGCTCTGCCTAAGTAAATAAATAAACTCTGCCTTTGGCTTTGTGTGACTATTCCCATGTTCAGTTATCATCATGGTCATGTAATCCTGTACATTTTGACACTCCTTGTCCTTGAGTTTGATTGCTCCATAATGTCCGTGGTTGAGGATTCCGGTTTTTCCTCAATGCACTTTCACTGCTACTAGAAAGAAAAAAAAACAGGCCTCTCTTTCGTTTACTTCGTAGGGTGATTACATATCGTTCCAAAATGGCTTGTTTAACCATCTTCTTTTAATGTTTAGATGCCTAATGACCCTATTCGATAGTTTAGAAAAACACTGAAAAAGTAAACCTCATCCAAACCATAGATAGTGACTACTCCAGAACTGTACGATTTTTTACAGTTCTTGAAGTAGATAGTGACAACACACACGGAATTATCAGGTGATTACTAATTTCCTGTTTCCTGTCTTCTAATCTGACAATGTCATGACCAGTGTTATGAATTGTTAACGTGGTATCCACGTGAATTGGATTTCCGAAGCTTAACTCCTGGGCCCAGTTTCATGCCGCTCGTTAAGAAGCAGAGAATAAATGCTTATCACATTTACAAACTTAGCAAAAAAACAGCTGACAACAACAAGTCTTAATAAACAGTACTGTACATGTGATACTTGGCTGGTATAACATGTTTCTGCTGCCTGATCTGCTGGGTAGATTTTTCTGTCTTTTAAAATTTATCGGAAAAAAAATGTTGCAACCCGATGCCACTTTTCTCTTCATATATGTGTATATCATCTCAATGAAGGTCAGTCATTGCAAAAATGATGATAAGACATGAATCTGGGACTGAGAAACATTTCCAATTTTGTTAGGAAATACTTAGAAAACTTTCTTGACTCTTCGTAGACTTTGTTCACAACCGCTGAAGTGGCGTCAGGTAGCAGCATTTTTTCCAATTGTTCAGGAAGCTACATGTACAACATGTGTACATGTTAGCAGCTTCTTAAAGTTTGCCCCTGTTGCATGGATACATTACATGTTTACAGAACGTTGTTTTTTCAATCAAGATTGAGTTACAAGTGCAATTGAAAAGTAACGCTGGTTTTATCCATTTTTTCAGACAAGTCTTAGGTCAGTCTAAGACTATCTAGAGCAGTCATGCAGCATGCAGCAGCAAGAAACCTGAGGGCCTTCAAGACCAAATGTCTGGACGTGAGCTTTGACCTGGACAATTCGGAGTACCGTGCAATCCAGAACATCGGAACAGGTGGGTCACGTTTGAAGAACATGGACATTAAGAGGGACTTGTGTGGATCACAAAACGATCTTAAAAATATTTGAGGTATATTTTTGGAACACATTTTTAGTGTTCAAATTTTGCTTGTCTGTATCATTCTTGCTTAAGTTAAAGCAACAAAGCTGGTGCAAATGTTTGAAAAACACTATGTTTGAGTTGTATATGTTGTATTGAGTTGTACTTGTATTTTCTTTTCCAATGCAGAGATCAGTGCAAACTGTAAAAATTGAATTGTTTGAAAAAACTTCCATGAAAAATGCGCAAGAAGGCACAAAACTATGTTTTCGTGCCAAATTATTAAAGTTGTGTGTAGTTGAAACTTCATGTGAATTGTTACACAAAAATCGTTTTGTTTTAAGATAGTGGGGTTCACTGACATTGCAGTACTGTAATTTTGCACCAACAAAGACTTCTTGTTTTACATGGCACTCATCTTGTAAAATGTTTCCCTCCCCCAGGTGCGTATGGAGTTGTGTGCTCAGCAACGCACAAGAAAACCTCAGAAAAAGTGGCCATCAAGAAGATCCCAAATGCCTTTGAGGAGCTGACCACGGCCAAACGAACCTACCGCGAGCTCAAGATCATGCGGCACTTCCGGCACGAGAACGTGATTGGGATCCGAGAGATCCTTATGCCTAAGGAACCTCTGAATGACTTCCGGGATGTCTATGTGGTGCTGGATTTGATGGAGAGTGATCTCCACCACATCATCCACTCCCAGCAGTCAGTCAGCATGGAGCACATCCGCTACTTCCTGTATCAGATCCTCCGGGGGCTGAAGTACATCCACTCGGCCAACGTGGTTCACCGGGACCTCAAGCCCAGCAACCTCCTGGTGAACGAGAACTGTGAACTCAAGATCGGCGATTTTGGAATGGCCAGGGGGCTGTCTGGAAACGCCGACTCCAAACGCAAGATGTTTATGACCGTTTACGTTGCCACACGCTGGTACCGCGCCCCGGAGTTGCTGTTTTCTAATGACGACTACTCTTACGCCGTGGATATGTGGTCGGTTGGCTGCATCTTTGCAGAGATGTTGGGCCGCAAGCAGATATTTCCAGGCAAGAATCCCATGCATCAGTTGACTCTCATCATCGAGGTCCTGGGGATGCCACCAGACAGTCTACTCCGCTCAACAAACAGTGACCAGATCTTTAACTTCTTCCACCGCAACTTTGGCGGGAAGCAGTCCACAAACCTGAGAGACAAGTACCCCAACCTGGATGAAGACGGGAAGGACTTGCTCTCAAAGATGCTGGTCTTCAACCCCTCCGATAGAATCTCGGTCAAGGATGCTCTCTCGCATCCCTTCTTGGCCAAGTATCATGATCCAGATGATGAGCCAGAATGCTTTCCCACGTTTGATTTCTCCTTTGAGCAGGATGAGCTCACCAAGCAGCAGATCAGGCAAAATGTTGGAAAGATGATTTTGAAATACCAGAGAACCAAACTCTTTGCTGGGAAGAAGTTTCCAGGTTCTGTCTCCGTCGTGAAACCGTCCACAGCAGCCACTGCCACTTCAGCTGCCTTTCAAGAAACCAAAAGTGCAATAATGCAGCTGGCTGCTGCATCAGTTTTGCCTGCCAATACCTTGCCAGTTGCCAATCCTCCAGACACCAAACAAAGCTCTGATGTGAAGTGCCCTCCAAAGGAGGGCATCTTTAAAGTCCCCTCTATCCCTGCAGAGGAGAAGAAGTTCCTTACTCCAGAAGCAAAGCCCAACAAAATGGTTTCGGAGGCAGAAGAAACTTTGAGTGTCATGGCAGTGTCAACACTTAGTGTCTCAAACGATGTGCACATGAAAAGTGCAACCAGGTCAGCCCAGAATAGTGCAATAGGTAACACGGATGGACTAGTCCAGGGTATGTCTACACTCAAAACCCTCACTGCCTCATCAAGTAACACCATCTCAGAAGATGTAGAAATGAAAAGTGCCCACGGTGAACAGAAAGAACCACTCAATGGGTCTAGTATCGGACCCTCTGTGTCAGAATCACAGGACGTAGATATGAAGAGTGCACGACGGCAAGGAGCAGAGACGAATTCTGTTACAATAAGTTCCCAGGTGAAAGACAGTTTGAACAGTTCCAAGCAGCCTCTGCCCTCTGTTGTTGTGGAGGGCACAGGTCAGAAGACAATTTCTGAGGACACCAAGGAGCTGATCAAAGCAGCCCTACGACAGTCGGTATTAAAGAATAAAATGAGAAAAGGTAGGATTCTTTGTTTCTAATTGGGGTATTTACTCCCGAGTTTAGTTAAACTCTTAGTTTGCAGGACTTCATGTGCCTGCTTCTTATGGTCAAGTAGCTCATGACATCTGCAGTCACATGTACAATTTGAAAGAGATTGAGAAAATAGTCTTCAGGAGACGATTGTTTTAGCCTGTAGTGTCGGGTCATTTTTTCATTGTTTTTTTTTAAGTCAATTTTTGGTGTCGTGGAATTTGATGTGTTTGTGTTCTTCAGTAATACTGAGCAGATCAAGCAATAATGGAGAATGCTGTCACATCTGGTGTTCAGAAAGCATTCACAAAGAACTTTAGAAGTACATGTATGATTTTTTTTGGGTTGGTTTTATGTTTTCACAGAATCTGAGGCTGAGAAAGGTGGTGGAAAAATTCCTGTCACCGCCGTGGCCCGCCAACGAGAACGGGAACAGAAACGACGTCAAAAGCTCCGTCGGTCCATTGAACGACAGAAGAAGGGCAAAGCGAAGGGCAAGAAAAACACAAAAGAGGTACAAGAGGATGACAAACACCAAATGCTGACGGACGAAGACAGAAGTATGCTGGAGAGATGGAACAAAATGTTGAAGAAAAAGGATCAAGAGGAACCAAGCGAATCGGACAAAGCTGGCGATGATAGTTCTGCACTGGGGTCAGAACACAGCAAAGTCATCAAGGAGGAATCCCTTCTTTTTCACAAACGTGTCGAGTCAGATGTTGGAGTATCTGCAGCCGTTGCCGAACCTTCCCAGAACACTCGGGGATCGTCAAGTCGTTCCTCAGTGACTGAATTAGGAGAATCTGTGTCCTCCATCACAAACACTGCCCAAGGCGGACAAAAAGTTGGTGAGAAAATTGCCACCAGTGGAGTGGTAGAGACAATTAGTGTGCCAACGCAGCAGCAGATATCAAGTTTAGATAGCACTGCTTCCACAAACATGTTCCCCTTCTCAGTGGCTTCCAAAGCTCAGAAAAACTCTTACAGCAGTGCAACAAAGACGTCCCCGTCCTCACTGAACAATTTTGGAACGAACAATGCACAGCTTTACTTCAGTCAGCCATCCAGCCAGCCCATGAACACCAATCCAAATCATAGTTTCTATGCCCAAAGTGACCAGAAAAGTTCCAGTGTCATCACTTCAAGGCAGACTGGAGACCAGCAAATGTCTACCGCGACAAGTTCAGCTAATCAACCTCCTGCCTCTACCACTGATACTGCCACTGCCCAGTTGTTGAGTAGGTACCCAACTGCCACGTCACTGTCTGTAGGTTTCCAACCTGGCAAGAGTGATGGCAGTTCTGGGTTCCAGCAGTATCGATCGCGTCACTACTCAGATCGCGAGACGCCCTCACCTCCACATAACATCCAGCAGTCACCACCAGCCTACGAAGACTCAATGAAAGCAAGGTTTACACCCTACACAAGCCCAACAGGTAATGCACATTAAAACCTTACATGTGTGTGTTTGAACAACTGTTCACTTACCACCAAAAAAGTTTGTTTACAATACTTAGAAAATTTATGTTATAATTTTAAAATGTATGATGTACACCTTACAGTGGTCAACGCACTTCCATTTTGATCACCCAAAAGTGCTGTTTGAATGGAAAATACAAGAATAGATGGAAAAACAAATGTTCTTTGGTTACAAATGTTTAAACTCTCTTGTACTAGAGGTTTCAGGAAATATCTTCCGAAACCCCCAAACTTACCCTATCAAATGTAATTGGACATCCCCTGAATTGATTTCTGTTTTCACAGGTAACCCCCAAAGCTACCCCTACAAGCACAGCTCCCAGTACCTGAGCCTCAGCAAGCAAAGTCCTGTACGCCAAGATGGCCTCCCCACCCACTCCCGCCCCTCACCTACCCCACCCGAGCTAGCCCAGGTCATCCGACAGCTGTCCAAGTCGGCCATGGAAGACAGCTTACCGCCGATACTTCAGGTGACACCCAAGGGTGACGGAGCTGGATATGGACTCAGTATGGACTTGGAAGATTGGCTGGAGGGTTCCTTGGGATCACCACCGGCTGCATGGTAAAAATTGATCTATCGCCGTTTGCGAGTTAGCCGCGCCCCTTAGACAACCCTATGGAGTTTTTGTACACTACGTTTTGTTTGTCTCAGATTTTGCGCGTCCCGCGTCCATTTGCATATCATGTAATTTTAAAAACAATATTTCACAAGCTGCGTTGATGCGATTCTAATGCGATTCTACTGCGATAGGCCAATCGTCTGGACTACTTGCAGAAATTGTACATAACACTGAGTAGCTCTCGAGAGCCAGTGTGGGATGTAGAATACCTGCACTGGTTCAGGATTGTGTGATGTGGGAAACACCCCCCCCCCCCTCCCTAAATAGGCAATGGAAAAGAATTATAGTGAGCTATCGTTGTTTCTGTGATAATGTCACAGACAAGTATGCATTTGTGATGATGAAACTGTTCCAAACAGAAAATTACATTAACACTGCCGAAGATACAGTTGGGCACTCTTTCAGCAGATCTGTTTGGCAGTACATTGTACTGCTAAGCATGTGATTTACTGCAAACAGAGCCCTGTGTTCATTTTACAAAAGCTGTGAGCAGTAAGCTTAAAACATCATGCGCTAACTTCAGAGGTAGAATTTTCTTTAAGAAGCAGTGAAACAATTTTACATCAATATATAAGCAAGTGTATGGCATCAAGGCCCTAAAATACACTTGAGGTCAGCATCATTTTGTCTGTTATAGTTTGTGCATCAATCTGCTTACCATTAAAATAGAGTATATCATTTGCAGCTATCCAAAAAGTAACTGACGAAATTATTGTTGAAAAATATTCTTAGTTTAAAGATAGTAATGGCACTAAACTCCCTGTTAAATTAATCTATTTGGCATGCTGCCATTTTGAAGAAAACAATTAAAGAAGATCGTTTCCAAAGATGCGTCTAAAGACGCATTTTTGGAAATTTCGTAGTAGTTCGTATTTAATTCGGCGAAGCCGTGAATGGGTACGTGCAAGCATTGACACAACGCACAAGCGCGTGCGGTAGCTATAATTTGTCGTTTCAGTGCGTGACATCGCGTAGCTGCAATCGGCTGAATGAGAAAGTGTTCCAGACGCTGATTTCGGGCGCAGTTTTAGAACAAGACTCGGCAAGTTTTGAATTGAAATCAAGATCCTAGAATATTGTTTTCTCAGAATATACAATGTACAGCATTCACTGAGCTAAAATTTTATCAGGTTAGTTGTTAAACACCCTTTTTTAGAGTTTAAGCACATTTGTTGCTCCAAACGGGGGGGGGGGGGGGGGGGGGGGGGGAAATGCACAAATGACAAATGATATTCTCTACCTTTGAGCAGTGCTGAGAAATTAGCCTCAGGAGTGGCATTATGAATATTTATAACATGAAACCATTTTTCCAATGTTGCAGCAAGCTGGATTCAGGACCCTTATCTGCATCTCTGCTCTCTGATTGGCTGGAAGTGCGGGACATGAATATGGATGACATGATCGCCGTACAGCTGGAGCTGGGGCTCACGTCGCCATTCAACCTGTCGGATATTCCAGGGCTAGTCGAGTCGCCAAAGAATAAGGACAGGGTTTGACCCTAATTGTTCCCCAGCGCCCGTCTAATCAGCGAAGCTACCAACCTGTTTAGACTCCGGGCACAAAAGTTAGGTGGTGCTTTGTGACTGCTTTCGAGAGCCAAGAGGACAGGACACACAGCACGCGTGTACATTGTACTGGTTCAGGTGCATCTGCTGCAATGTACGCGCGACTAATTTTATTCTGTATGCGAACAAAGCCATAAAAAGTGTACTTGTTCTACATACCCCCCCCCCCCAGGACAGACACAAAGGGAGAACAACAGATCCTTTCAGTCCTCGGGAGTTGGGTCTTTTGTTCAAAATGGTCCTCTGTGGTAGGTTTGTGTGCTTAGTCTATGGGAGTGTGTTATATTACAGGGACAAAGGAAAACACAAAGCATTGTCCTCAAGAGTATAGTAAAACAAGAGAGTGTGTCTTTGCACGAGTGTCGGGCAACTATTTTCACTTGTACCTACCACTACTTCTACTGCATTGGTGTCGTCTAATTTCTTTGAGCTGTTATTGGACACATTATGTTACTATTTAGCTGGGATAGCTGTAATACTAAAATACATTACCTGCGATGCTTTAATGCTGTGTTGTCTCCCCAAACTCTCCCTTTCTTACCGTTGAAGTTTTCTATTTATAAAATGTTTGACTAACTTGAGGGGGACTTTTGAGGGCCCAAATATCTTGTCCTGCAACATGTGTGGACCCCAACAACTTTGGAAACAGGAATGGCTATATGCGTGTGTATTTTTGCATTGTATGCTGTGAAGTGGATTTTACACTCTATTTTGGGATAAATGTAGTAATTTAGTATGTCAGGGTTTATAGTTTATATATTGGACATTTCTTGTAAAGTAATGTCACAGAAAGTCTTCAAAAGATATGTTTTAAAGAGGTTGCAAAATAATGGAGTTTTTTTTCAATTGATCAATCTGTGATACATAAATGAAAACAACAAAACACAAATAAGTACAATGGGGAACATTGGTTCCATATTGGCATTTGTATGTTTCACACAGTTGTGAACATGGTATTTCATTTTGTCTTTGTGAATTCAGAGAAATATAGTTTTCTTTGTTGTCAGTTAAGGTTGTAGAAGCCAGGCGATTAAAACAAACCCATCTGAATAATTAAAAACTATTAATGAATATTGCATGCATGTTAACCATCAGAAGTCTTGCAAGTAATTTAATGTTGTATTGATTTCAATGCACTTATATAAAAGTAGAAAACCCTACATCCGAATTGCAACAAATTTCCTTTTTTCAGAAATTAATACAGTTCTTTTTGGTAATCAATTCATCACAAGGCACCCATTGTCAAATGACAAGTTATTCAATGGTAGACTTTGAGACGTTTGGTGCAGCAAACACACACTGGTCCATTTTGAGCATTGAGATTTATTGCTTAAACATGAACCAATAGACCGTTAGCGTAGCAGCCATCTTCGAGGACATCTTTTGCTATTTTAATTTAGTTAAATGAATGCACAAAGGCTTCACTCATGCATATACCAGCAAAACAAGGGTATTGCCCTCTAAGATGGCTGTTACGCACAAGGTCTATTAAATTACAGTTGAATCTCGTTAGTACAAACTCTGTTAATACACAATTCTGGTTATAACAAACAAAAAGCCTTATAAAAAAAGTCCAGCGGATATGTGAAAAAATTGTGCACTTTTGCATAAAAGCGTGAAACTTGGCACAGATGTTTATATTCATGCGAGAAAATGTGTAAGATGTGGAGTCATTGCAAATTTACCCTTTTAGGGGCGTGGCATCCATTTAAAAAAGGGGGGCGGGACTTGTTGTGCCCGCAGTGAAAACGGTTTTTCCCACTTGTTACAAAAGCAGGAAACTTCACAAAGACATAATTATATAGATTATTAGTGTTTTCCAGATTCGGAGCCACCACAAAAGTACCTTTTTAGGGGCGTGGCAGCCATTAAAAGAAAAAGGGGGGGGTTTAATTATTATGCCCACTTTGGAAAACATTGTGCCCATATTTCATGAACAACTAAAACGTCCCACAGACGTCTATATTCATGAGAAAAAAAATTCCAGATGTGGAGCCATCTCGAACACACCCTTTTAGGGGCGTGGCAACCATATAAGAAAAAAAGGGGGGCGGGGTTTTCATTATGCCCACCCTGAAAATATTGTTCCCACACTCATAGAGAAATGGAACTTTCCACAAACATTGACATTCATGAGAAAAAAAATTCCAGATGTGGAGCCATCTCGAACACACCCTTTTTAGGGGCGTGGCAACCATATAAGGAAAAAAGGGGGGCGGGGTTTTCATAAGTCCCGACTGTACATTTATGTGCGCAATGAATGGGACTGATGTTCCTCTTAATACAAAATTCTGATATAACAAACAATTTGGCTAGGTCCGAACGAGTTTGTTTTTGAGACTCGACTGTACAATGAAAAAAAAACGGTGTGTTTTCTGCCAAGAAGCATCTCAAAAAGTTTCGCGTTGAACTGTACAAGGACATTTTTACAGGCTTGCAACTGTTCCTCAGATCCGCTGATTTCCTTGTTTTTCACTTCTCATGAATGCCGTTATTAATTGAAAAATACTGTACAGAGTCTTGTGTGGTTTGGAGTTTTCTCGTTTTTTTCTAATGTCCCATTTGCAAGCCTGTTAATAGCTGACTTGGTATTTGACTTGTGATTGACTTGACCATATATTTGTTTAAATGGTAGTGAGGATAATGGGGGAGAACCCCTTTCCCTGGTTCCACCGCTGGTGCAAGTTGGAGACATACCATGCGAGCTGTAAAATTATTATTTTTTTTTAAAGGTGTCTACGCTTGCTTCCACACTGTTTATTATTTTGTGCATTGTGTACATTTGATAAACAATACCTTCAAAATTTCTGTTACAAATTTGTAGATGTAGGGAGCAAACAGAATTTTTCAGGCATAAGTGTAATAAACATCTATTATTTTGTTCATGTTATACACCTTAAACTGGTCATTTGTTTGTGTTTTTTTCTCTTCCAACAGTCTTCAGAAATCCTATAATGTTGAGCTCCCAGGCCCATCTCCTTGGCATTGCCTAATTAACACCAGCTGGCTGTAAAGTCTAATTGGCTGTACTATCTGATTGACTGTTAGATATCGTTTCCCCTATTGCTAATACATGCACGTACTAACTTAATCGTCGATAATTATGACATCAATAATATTAATCGTAAACCAGCAACGCCAAGGCCCGCCCCTGAATTGACTAGTCTGGTTCCCTGACCTGACAATTTTCCCCGACGTCCAGACGTTTATGATTCATCAGGAATAGTCAGAATCTTTTGGTCTGGGAACCAGACTACTGAAGTGACACGCCCCCGTGAAGTTTTGTCCAATCACAGTCGTGCTGAGCCATGCAAGGGCAATCTCGTCCCCAGTGCTTACTTTGTTTCCAACCGCGTTTCCAAAAGTAAGTAGTGGTGGGCGCGCACTTCTCGACACCCTGGGGACGAGGTTGTGCAAGGGGATACAGGGTTTGCGTTGGAGACGCACTTGTTTTTTTTCCTCACCACGTGTGCGCAGTGGGCGGGCCTTTAATGGATCGGTCGAATTAGTGACAGTTTCATTTCAGTTCCACTATAGATACGTTGAATGATGCCCATTGGTACGTTGTTTGCTTTTAGGGTTTTCATTTGGTTATAAAATAACAGACTTCTCATGAATCTAGGATTGGAGTTTAAAGTCAGGTACGACTTGTGAGCCGGGTAATGATTACAATGACGTAATGTATAACCATCTTCATGAATATTCATTCCATACCACATAAAAAAAATGTCAGCTGATTTCATGTTCGTCGTAGTTCAGGAGTCCAAAATATAAACTAAGTGCAAAATATAAAACAAATGCAAATAAAAACTTGTTACTGTTCCAAAGTGAAATTTCCTGGTCAAAACTGGCATAGTAATCGGCCTAATTTCAAAAGTGTACTGACCAACCCGGCAGATTAACAAACTAGCCGAAAAGTCAGCCATCTTGGATTTCATTCACGTCACAGAATGGACTCGTATAGTACAGATGACAGTAGTCGATAATGGTGTCGATGAAAAAAAAAATCTGGACCAAAAGTTACCTATTACAAGAATTCAGTGCATCATAACTGCATTGCAAGCATCAAAGAGTGAGGTAAGTTTCACAAAAGTAACCTGTGTGTCATGTTGATACATTTGCACGAAGGATTTGGCGGTTTGTTTTGGGGTTGACAGATTGCCTTGAATTGCTACTGTGCGCTACACTAACTACAGCGGGGGTCTGTGCTAAATAAAACCACTCATTTGGCGTTTAAATCCAGGCCAGGTGGACGTTTGGAATCGGCTTTTCCGTCTTACCGGCTTGTCCCTTCAACACGGTCCTTGCTTTTAAAACCGCGAGCCTGTGTTGTCTAATAAACCCGGTATCACACAATCGGAAAATTACCAGGCAGCTAAACTAAGCTTCTTGCTCGAAATAAAACGTGCCGATCCGGTTGATGGATTATTTATCTAACTGTTGCCCGGGAACAAAAACACACAGCTTTTGCAAATGTCTTAATTCGCTCGAAAAAGGGGAAAGTACTTGTCACTGTTGGTGAGATACCATGGACACGATTATTTTTTATCTTGTCTTTAGTTTCTTCTTATGCATGTATACCATTCCTTTAAAAGTTATATTCCAAAGTTCCGAACATGTCGGTTTGATTCAAGATAGATTTCAAAGCAGACTTGTATGACTCGTGACTCGGACTCGACCTGCATGACTCGAGACTCGACCAAAATACCAAAACTCTCTTATTTTTTTTACCATCAATACACATGTTATTATTTTGAAGACGATCCTCTCCTGAGCAAGCGAAATGTGCGGTGCTGAAGAAACACATCTAAGTGCTGTACATAATTATACAGCGCCTGTATGCGGCTGGTTTGTTTCCAATACATGTATATTGATTTGGAAAATAATCAATGTATCGAAATATGTACCCCAGCGTCCACACTTGATTTTGCGTAAATGCAAGCTTGATAGTAATATTTTTTTTTACATTTACACTGTGAGGTTTTAGCAGTACCTCAAAATGTGTTTCCAAAATATATTAAAGGTGACTCTTTACTCGGACTCGGACTCGACCTGCATGACTCAGGACTTGGACTCGAGAGAGGTGACTCGGACTCGGACTCGATGTTTTGTGACTCGTATACAAGTCTGTTTCAAAGTAACAGTTGATTGGGGCTGATATAAAGAGATTGACAGGAACATATTTTTTTCCCCACATTAAAATAATTTACAAACTTAACCCGCCAAACGTGACGGTTGAAATCAATCTGACAAACATTTCCCTTTGAACTGCTTTATGGTAAACGACAGTTTGAACTGTACATGATGTCTGCCGTGAATCATTGTGGCGATCAGTCACCATCAACTTGAAAGGAACTCATAATAACACGGACAGTATTTGGTTCTATAGACGAGTCGGATTGACATTGTGGTTACACATTAACGATAACAACCATTAAATCGGATTGGGGAAGGAAATGACCGGAATTGAAATGACAGGATTTCAACATAGCCTATCATTCTTTTTAAATTCTGGTGTTGCCAGTGCTCGTGTTGACTACTTGGCACAAGTGTTTATGGGTTATGAGGCACGGGGAAGATTTGAATGCCATTTGATTGGGCGGTGTCAAATTTAATTACTGTCCTCAACAACTAGGCAGGAACAGTTTTCGGGGAAAACAAGAGAATATTTAGTTTTAACCAAAATTTTATACTCATATTGTATTTTGACATATTGCGGCGTTATCGTTGGTACCTTTGTCCTGAATTTCTCCTCTTTTTTGCGATTAGGTAGAAGGAATCATTATCATCGGTTACCAAATTTACTCTTGCATTTTTGATTCAAACGTGCATGCGTTTTCAAAATAGTTTCTTGTGTTTATTTAATCTCTTAAAAAAATCCTTTAAAAGTGTTGGGTTTTTTTACCAAAGAAACTTTCCTTTTACCCAAAAAATTATACTAATTTTGTGTTTTGACAAATGGCAGTGTCGTCATTAGTACCTCCTTGTTTTAAAATTTCCTATTTTGCGATCAGGCAGAAGAAATCATTTCCATTGGTTACCAAATACACACTTGTTTCTTTGATTCAAACGTGCATACGTTTTCAAAACATTTCTTGTGTTTAATTAATTTCTCAAAAAATTCCTTTAAAAAGACATTTTCACCGAAACAACTTTTCTTTTGAACCCAAAATATTATACTAATTTTATGTTTTGACAAATAGCAGCGTCATCATTATTAGTACCTTGTCCTAAATATTTCCTATTTTACAATCAGGCAGAAGAAATCATTGTTCACCAAATGCTCTCTTAAATATTTGGTTGAAACATGCATGCGTTTTCAAATTTTTTCTTGTGTTTACCAAATCTCTTAAAATATTTGCTGAGAGGCGTAAATTGTGTAAAGGCAATAGCTATTTACTACGAACAACTCTTTTAATTAATTTGTTTTTACAAACCAATTTCTTGGTATTCAGATGTTCCCATAATAACTGTACATCATGCACGTTTAAAGATAACTTCCATAACGAAGGAATGTACACACATTAAACTTCTCAACTGAAAAACATAAATAAATTTCTCAAAGTTCTTGACAGAAAATGTACTCCTTTAATATATATTTCACGGTTTGTCGGCGGTAATGAGCTTTTTATACTTTTTATTTTTAAAAACTTGAATTAGCCTAGCAGCATCTACTACCTGAAGGAATAGGTCTAACAGCATCTATAAACATCACTACCTTTTTACGATTCTGTTGGCATTTCCTCGGCATGCCCTTATTTGTAACTGTGTTGTATTTATGCATGAGTCCATCACACACCATCTAAGCACCAGCAAAAGAAATGCTTAGCATAGTAATGTCTTTCTAACAAAAATAGGTTACCTGCCAAAATTCCATGCGATTTTTATGTTAAGCGTACAGCAAATGAACACCAGTTACTAGCAATATACAACACATGAAACTTTGGTTGGTAATCATGTTTTTATCAAGGAAAAGTGTTCATGCTTAGCAAATGTTTGTGCTTAGCAGCTCAATGAATTTGGCTCCTGGTCACAAGCTATTTAAATGAACTGTAACAAAGGCATTCCCTTGTGACCCGAAACTGAATTTACTGACGATATACTTGCGACCGCGTTTGTAAAGGAATCGACTGCATGTGCTATAGGTCGAGATTCAAAAGGCATTCAACCGTTTTCGAATTATCATTGCAACCAAAACAGTTTTGACGTAGAATTTAAAAACCTCCGGTTGTGTCTAAGAGCTTTATTCACCATTAGAATTTAGAAGTTTTCCCGATTATGCAGGATAATGCTCAAGTAAACACGGTCGTTGCATTACGCACAGACTCATTGGCCATCGCGTCTTGATCGTCATTTTCGAAGCAGATGTTGAGGTACTGTCCCCGTGTCGGTGTCACATTGTTCTCCGGACACGCACGTGTCTGGTTATCGTTTATTTGGTAAAGATCATGGGCCAGCACACTGGTGACGGTCGAACTCCGCTGGCGTCCACTGCTCTTGCAAGACCTCAGCGTGAAAGCCGTCTTAAAAGCCCGTCGGTAACGGGCGTTGGTCAGGGTGTAAACCAGGGGGTTCACGACGGAGTTGACGTAGACGAGTATGCGGTTGATCTCGAACAGAGTATTTTTGATTTCGGGCGGGATGAGATCGGAGGCCAAGAAGCTATCTATGAAGATCAATAATGAAGTCACCTCAAAGGATGTCATCGTGAGGAGAAACACTGTTCCGTTGGCTACCAGCATGACAGCGACCTGGTTACGAGTGCGAATTGTGCGTTGCCGATCGTGCGTATCCCGCTGGTGGAGTTTCAATAGGATTCGAGTGTAGAAGAAGGAGTTACCAAAGAATGCTACAAAGAATGGTACAGTCTGAACCAGGTGGAACATCTGAAAGGCCCAAACGTCGGGGTTCTCACATCTTCCGATGATAGCCGGGAACTTGTCGCGAAGTCCTGGATCAGCTGTGTTCCATGAGATGCAGTACTTCTTGAAGTTGAAATTTGCAGGGATGACCAGAAGAGCAAGGAGCAAGGCCACGAGCCAGCAGACTACAATCAGTTTGACGGACCGACTGCGACCGCTTATTAACCGGTGGCGTAAAGGGTGACACACGGCAATGAATCTCTCAAACGATATGAACGTGATCAGAATCAAGCCGGCAAAGTTGAAAACATACTTCCAGAATGTGTCCAATATGCAACCGGCCTGGCCCAGCAATGGTACCTTGTTGGGGAGGCCGTACATAACATACGCTCGTAATCTAGCACCAATAACAATCAGCAGGAACATCAAGTCAGCCACAGCCAGGTTGGACAGGTAGAAGTTGGTGGCCGTTCGCATGCTACGAACACGGAGCACTGTGAACAGAAAGCCGATGTTGCCGATCAACCCAAGAGCAAGGAGGATTGGTAGAACAATCTTGGTGGTGGTTTTTTCGAGGTCACTGAGCAACAGATTGTAGTAGTCTGCTTCTTCGCGAGAGGAGATGATCTTGTAGTCTGTGTTGTTTTCTGTGCAGTCTTCTTCCGTTGTTATCTCTGCCCCCATCTTCAAGATGTAAGAGTCAATTGAGAGACGGTTACGTGTGTCGTGAGATGCGGATGAACTCACTTCGTTGCATTGCTAAGACGAAGTGTTGCAGTTGGAAGAAAAATTACCGAGCATTGTCAATTATTGCCATTATGAAGCTAGGAAGCTGAATATAGGTCGCCAATAGGCGGGATTCGACAGATGGCAAATATAAATATTTAACTTTTTGACCGGTGTCTCATGCTCAGTTTGTTCCCGTGACGAATTGGTACTCGTTCGAGGGCGCATGTCTGTGCATGAATTCCGACAATAAAACCTATCACAGATTTTTATCGACCGCGCTTTCATACAAGTTCAAATCCATCACGAGAGCTTCTTGTCATGTCATCACTTGCAGGGATTCTTGCGTTGTCTCACTGGTCAAACTTTGCTGACGGAGACTATTTGAATATTTTTTTCTGAACCAAGGTCCGGTATAATATTTGCTGTGGTTTAAGTTTGGTTAGCGGTAGCGTTTATCAAATTAGATGGCACGCGGCAACGGAATACCTGCGTTGGAATGAATATCAGGTTACGTTAAAACGAAAACAAGAGGGTCGTGCGCTCTCTCGTTCTGGACTTAGCTGCAAACATCGGTGCAATTAATTAATGCACCGGTGTAGCCTATGGTGTTTGCTAGCGCCTAGGGAACGTCGCTTTAAGGCCGCACCGGCTCTTCAAATTGTCCCGAATAAACACTGATTAATTTGACTTTGCTTTCTGAATAGCGAGACCCGCTTTTGTGTTAATTATAGTTATGGACCGGGGTTTGTAAAAGAGTTTGCTTTCTCGGTGTACGCTAATTAAATACACTAAACTAAAAAAGAAAGAAAGTACCCCTTAATATTTTTTTGTCTAACTCAAAAATTACTGATGGGCACATCTTGCTCAAATTACGACTGATCAGTACAGAAATTCCTTAGCAATCCAGCCATGCTCTTTGTTTGGCCCAAAACAGTGATAATGTGTACAAAATTATGCAATTTATGACAAATGGTACCAAAAAAAGGTGCACTGTTGTATACGTGCAAGGTGAGTGTGAACCACAACTTGCAAGTATATAAAAGTGCAACTGTTTTCGGTATCATTTGTCATGATTTGCATAAATTCGTGCACATTATCACTGTTTTGGGCGAGAGGTGCTCAGTAGTTTTTGAGTTAGACACAAAAGTATTGGAAGGGGGGACTTGGGGGGGGGGGTTAAGTGTATAATATTCCTTTTTTTTTCAAATGTGATTTCATGGATGTATTGTGTCAAGTGAGAACGGAGCGGAAAACATATGTCGGGGAATTACGAATTGAGTAACAAAGCTATACGTCAATCTAAATCTGGATTAGATCCAAAAGGCAAGATCTCAGATACGATTTGGATAATCAAAATTTGATATATTTTTTTGCATGAGCGCTTGCACCAGTTTCAAAAATCTGCCATTCTTTTGTTAGTAAAGTAAATACCCCTATTCAAGATTTGAACGAAATAATAACCGTTTATGGTGCGAATGAGCTATTTGAAGTGAAGTAAAAATCGAAATTAGGTGACGAATTCTAAGAAACGAGCAGAGACACAAAAGTCAAGAAAAGAAGAAACGAGTTAACAAACGAGACACATTATACATGTACACGCAACTACAACAAGTTTTTTTTCTAACAGGATATTTACATTTCAAAATTGCAATGTCATCAAATAACTTCCGTACTAGATATAATCTGACGCATAAATATGATCAATTACACTTCAGAACTGGTACATAATACCACAAATGTCTAGTAAATTGATTCATTATTATAGTAGATTATTAACATGTAAAGCTTTAGTTTTAATTGTTACTTGTTTACTTGGGTCTCTTGTTCTTGTGAGTGATTACAAGTTTGTTTAATCTGCGCAGACACACAATAAAGGCGTCGTTGGGTCGTGATGGACGAAATCTCCAATCCAGGAGAGTGCAGTGCAAAGCTATACATAACCCTTCAATTAAACACTTGTTTGCGTGAGTGATGTTGAACAACTGCACTTTTTTTTCAATAATTTATCTTGCATAGTGGCGTGTCACGTATACATGTCTTCGTCAAATGTGGCCTTAAAGCCGAATAAAATGACCACAATCACCAGTAGGAGCAATCCATTATGGCCCTCGATCGATCTCAATTTTACATGAATGGGCGCTAACGCGAACGGTGACGAATAGGTTTCAAAACATCCAGTTAACTTGCAGCGTAATGTATTATTTGTAAACACTTTTGGAAACCTTTTTAGTAGAACATTAACGTTAAGTACCTGCCCGATCATGTGGTAAGAAAAAACATAATTCATTTTGGTTCTATGCGATGTAGTAAAAAAAAGCAACATTTCATTATTATTTTCTTCCAAAACAACGACATTTGAAATTCAAAGTTACAAGGACACTTTAAATTATCATAGATTTTATGATTCCGTAAAATAAAAAAAAATACATGATTTTTTTAAGGGCTTTCCTGTCTCAATTAAAACAGAAACAAAAACGTTAAGAAATGTCAATTTCAAATTAAGCGAGCCTAAAACTTTTCTGTATTTAATTGTAAAGATTAGTCGCTCTTGAAATCGTTAATGTTCAAGACTTCCTCCCCGAGACATTCTCAGGAAGTGTGCATGGAGCGAAAAGGACATTCTAACGGTGACGGCTATTAACAGGGCTATCAGAAATTCAGAGGGTATCGAAATCGTAAACCACGCCGATAGTTTCCCTTTATAAAAGGTTTTAACATGCACAAAATCAGGGGATCTTTCCAGGTGAACGATTTCGTCTTTGTGGTGTCCCATTCTCTTTCCTGTATAGTCAGCATTGTATGGAAAGAACAATGATAAGAACTTTTGTTATCAACCATTTTTTGAGACAGTTATTTGATTTTTTATGCCCGAGTTTTCATGTATTATTCTACTCCGGGTGTCTTTTCTCCATGGGTTCGAATCCTGACCGTGGGAACTTGGTACTTGTGCTCTTGAGCAAGGTACTTTACCATTACTGCTTCGTCCTTCGGATGGGCCGTAAAGCCGCAGGTCCCGTGTGTTGTGTAATACACGTTAAAGAACCCAGTAACACTTATCGCTTAGCCTTTAGTCAGGTCCCACGCGCCTATATACCTGGACCATCCGGACACGTAACGCACCCCGGATGCTGGCACGTAAAAAGACTAACACGAGCGGCGAAGCCGCGAGGGCCTTTACCATCTCGTGGAGAGCGCTTATGTTTTTCTTATTTTGTCTACCGATTTGGTAGACATGCATAATGCATTACCCATTGTGAATTGACCAATGAAAATGCAGAATTACTAACGTAAATCAGCCGTCGTCTGGCACCAGACAGCACGCGCGCCATGGCGCGCGTGCTGTTGCTGGTAACCGCAAATCACCGTTAGATGATTAGTTTATATTGCTTGATTTATATTACGTGAATAAATGAATAAGTGATTAGTTCCACGAGATAGTAAAGGCCCTCGCGGCTTCGCCGCTCGTGCTATAGTATTTTTACGTGCCAGCATCCGGGGTGCGTTACGTGTCCGGGTAAGCGCGTGGGACTTGACTAAAGGCTACTTATCGCTAAGAGAAGGGGTTTGCCCCGGTGTTTCTGGAAGTGGCTGCAGTATGCACCGCAGCATCTTGTAAACCATTATAAGGTGCTATATAATGGGTCTCATATTTCTCATAAACGTTATTTACCTTAGTAATAATAGACGTAATCTCCAGCACCCTGAGTACCTATTTGTTGGTAGATACGTGCGCTATATAAGACTGCGGTTATTTTTCTTCTGTTTCGTCTTCTTCTTATTATTATTATTACGTGTATACTAATCGTGTAACCTACTTTATCTCATTTAGTCCACATTATGTCTTTATCATCTATTTTGTCTTTCCGGATCCTTTTTTTTCTTTTGGTGGTACACTAGTCTTGCTTTTCTACCTGGTAAGCTTGTCCTGTGACCGGTTGCTCCTCTGTTGTTTTGTCTGCAGACGTCAAACGTTCAAGCTCACACTCGTCTGGTGATGCATGGCTAGTCACATTTTGAGTTTGTTCTTCTTGGGATGATTGTTGGTCCCTGTCTTTGGCATCTTCATCAAGGTTCTGTGACTCGGATTCATCATGTTCGAAACAGGCGTTGGAGTAGGTTGCCGGCCGCGCCACCATTGGGCTCTTTGCCGGCGATTGGAGGCGAGGGAGGGGCGTGAGTCCGCCCGGGTTGATGTGATACTGGGAGTAATAATCGGGGAACGCGCTGAATATCGTCGAGTTCCCCCCGCGTCCGTTACCCCACGAGGCAGTTCGGAACGCCCGCCTGAAAGCACGCCTGTACCGGGCGTTGGTAAGGGTGTACACGATGGGGTTCACGGCGGAGTTTAGGTAGAGGAGGACCCGGTTTGCTTCAAATAGGTTTATCCTAATGTCGAACGGTATGATGACGAAATCATCAATAAACTTCTGAACGAAGAGTATCAGTGATGTCACCTCAAAGGCGGTGACAGTCAGGAAAAATACCGTTCCGTTGGCAACAAGCATCAGTGCAACGTGGTTACGGGTTCGAATGATACGCTGTCTGTCGCTGGATGAGTCTCTTTTATGGAGTTTGAAGACAATCCGGGCGTAGAAGTAGGCATTACCAAAGAAGGCCACAAAGAATGGTATTGTCTGTGTTAGGTGCAAGAGCGGGATCGCCCAAGGTTGGTCGAGCCCCCAGCATGCCCCTATGACTTCGGGAAAGTTCTGGTAAGGCAGTGGGTTCTCCTCAGGCCACTGGACGCAGTAGAGTTTGAAGACCATGGAGCTGGGGATCAGGAGTGCCGCCAGCGCTGAGGATGTCAGCCAGCAAGCCAGGACCAGTTTGGCGGTGCAGCTTCGGCCGCTGATGATCCGGTGTCGCAGCGGATGACACACGGCGATGTATCGCTCCAGGGACATGAAGGTGATGAGTAGAAGCCCTGCAAAGTGGAATATGTAGCGGAAGAGGATGTCTGCGACACAACCACCGACGCCTAGCACTTCATTTGGTACGCCGTACACCGCCAAGGGGTAAACCCGACTTGTCACAACTATTGTCAGAAACACCATATCGGCAACAGCCAAGTTGGCAAGGTAGAAGTTAGTCACAGTCCGCATGCTACGTACCCGTGCGAGTACGAAGAGGAACGCGCTGTTTCCGAGCAGTCCTATGAACAGTATGCACGGAAGGATGTAAGATGCCGTTATCTTCTGCACGTCCGTGTACATGAACTTGCTGGCATTTGTGGGCGTGAGGACGTATGTATACTCGGGGTCGCACTGAAGTGTACTGGTATCAGACCCCATGACTCCTGTGAAGTGATACTCAAGTTATGAAATGTACAACGAAAGTTTTCGTTGATGGCAAGCCCAACTTTGAAGATGGACTTCAGTTCATCTATGCAGAAATGCTCATAACACAAAGTTTGTGCGTTACCGGTACACTGGCCTTACATATGATGTATCATAGCAAAACGACAAAGATACAAAAAAACCCAGAGGTAGACCTCTTCCAGAAATATACAGTTAACCACCTATTCGAATCAAGGAGGTTTCACAACTAGCCAATATGGCTTTGTGCGACTGTGGTGATGCGCATCTAACAGAAAGAGGCAGAAGGAAAAATGTAGTGTACCGGTATATGGCATGTGGTTAATCAGTGACCGTCTGTTCTCGATGATCGCGTGTTCGTAGGCATGTCACTTTACATAATATACAATGTACCAGGACCTTCTGCTGGAGAGGCCACAGATCAAATCAAAAATTGTGTGGGAGGTTGGTCTAGGCACAAGTGAATCACTCCATAACTTGTGGCCCTCGACCTAGCAACGTGGAAATGACAGCTTTCCATGCACAGTTCCCCTTTTCAAGTGATTTTCATCTAGGTCCCGGCGGCTAATTTATACTCGATCTGTTTTGGCGGGGCGCGGGAATCTGTAAGCGCGCCCGTCGCCACTTAGAGAGCCACCGTGTCGCGCGCAAAAGGCGAGGAGAAAAAAAAACAATATTTCAAGAAGCACTCCAAAATTGAAACAGCCAACACAAAGAGCTATTAGGAGACCTCCATAATGCGTCACGCATTATTCGGGGAAATATCAATCTCTAAGAGAGTTCTTGTACCCGTCAGTTGCCCCAGCAACAAGGCACTTTTGACTCGTGGGAGGGCTTTAGTCGCTTGCCGCTAATTGTACATCCTGCAATTGTCAATCAATTTGTGGCTGTTTTTCAACTTCAGGATTTTGCGGCCTCACTTGGAACATTTGCCGGCACTTGAAAATATCGCTGTCACATGGATATGACATTGCAAGCTTGTAGTGACATGCAATCCGGGCTCTATATTAAAATATTAAAATTCGAGCATAGGCCAGCATTTTTTCTAAACAGTCGTCGGCCACATGTAGGCCCCTACTACTATATACACCTTTTGTTTGTAATCATTGAGCACCATTTTGTATGGGCTGCCGCAAGCGCATAAATGGAAACCGTGGTTGGCAAAATATTTTTCCAAAAAGTCATCATAACACCTTGTTTCATAAAAAAGGCATGCTTAGGAATTGTTTTGTACCGTTTGTACATACATGAAATTGTGTATTTTCGACAATCAAACATTTTTTTTGTATTCATTTTAATGATTAAAAGAACTAATCCTCTTTTTTTTTGCAGTGCTGGACCTACCATAGTGTGGCAACCCGTGATTGGAGAGATGTACCAGTAAGATAAGTAACATTTTAATTTTGAAAAAAAAATCGTGTTTTTGGATCTCAAGCAGCGATACCAAAACAAACGAACGCTGATTTAAAGCAGTCAGGCACCATACTGTTCCCAATTTGCACATACGTGTTCAAGCTTTTTGAACATGCAAATGATCCAATACCAGAGAGAGCAGGGGAGCGTATTGCTCGACACCGTGGGAACGAGGTTGGGAAGTTTTTGATCCTGGATCACCAAGATGAGAGCTCAGCTTTAATTAGAGGTCCTTGAACGGGGCGGTGAGGACGAACGAACAAATACGCTCACTCAATTACTACTTACATGTTGACATGCACACACAGTTTTCTTGGGTTCGTTGGTATAGGGTTGAACTTTGAGACTGGTTAATTAATAGAACTGTGCGTCGGCATCGGTATGCAATTAATCAGCGGGGTAGCAGGTAATGGACTACATGCGTGTGTTTAATGAGGGCAACTTAGAGCGCTGGAATTTTGTTTTGGAAAAAGGAAAAGCCATGGCATATAATAGAGTGGACCGGATCTATTATGAGAACAGGCCTCAAAGCTTTTGAAATCTTTTTGGTTGCTATGAGCCTTGATGATGGCGCCTTGCCTGTATATAGCCTGATTGGTCTTTTTCTTCAGTACCTGTACATGTCACGCGTGTGTATATTTTTATATTGATATTGACCCCTACGTTTATAGGTCGTTCGACCAACGCGACGAAAGTATCACAATTGTCGGGAAAGTTCTCCAAGGTCAACTCAAATTACTTTAAGACGCCTCGATGATTGGAAAACATTGCGAAAACGTTTGCGAAATAGAAAAATTAAATCCTACCCAGCCACTGAGCAAACTTTTGTGACTATCTCAATAAGCCTCTGTTCTGAAGACGTACAGATTTTTTAGGTGTGCGCTTTTCTATAAGGCTACGAAACATTCGTCCCCACCAGGCTCCCGTCAGAAAGCGTCATCAGTACAGAGGCTTATTCGTTATGTCTTTACACAAATTCTGGACCGCGATGTCCTTCCGGGGCCACCGTAATACTCCTGAGTAAACAAGAGGCAAATCACGACGTGGAGATGTTTTATCATCGAGACCACCTGCTCAGATAAAAAAAAATTAACATCAAAGTGATTGATGTTTCCATGTTTTTGAGTCGTACTGGATAGGTAAAAAAGTTCTCTATCACAAGGCTATCAGCCTGCATGCAAGACCTTGTTTACTTCGGTACATTTATAAGAAGATACGGATTCAGCTGCGGCCGCATTCGCTTTATAGCGACAAGCTTGTGGCATGGCAAGGTGAGCCTTTTGGTTGAACAATCGGTGTAAACATCACTGTTCTAGTTACCGGGGCTGGTTAGACGTTGAGCCCACGCTAGTTTGCTCAGTCTTAAAACAGGTTAAATATATAGCTACAGTCTGCCAAAGATTGCCAAGATTGCGCGTAAATCAGGAAGCAAGAAGCGAAGACAGGCTGTGTACGAAATGGATAAAGAGAGAGAGGCGCCGTTTATGTCTACTGTCATTCCCGATTAGACGCCGGAGACTCGGATGCGACCATGTCTGGATATGGATCGTTACTATATAAACCCCTTGTGAGACGAAGAGGTTGTTAATATGCAACTGGGGCTCAACATCTCAACATGAACCCATGTCCACACATAATATTCCGAAGAGTGAATCTAGCGACCAGACGACTTCGAGTGAAAATCACTCTAGGTTTAAATTGAAATACACTTTAAAAAATGAATAAAAAGGGAGAAAAACCAAGTGGCAACTGGAGTGACAACTCGATTGAATGAATTTCACTCTAAAACGTCTGGTCCATATAGTTTCAGTGGGTGGGAGTGATTGTCACTCGAATGGAGTGAATATTCACTCGATGGAAAAAAGGTAACAGCGGTCTCGAATGGCGAATAAGCAGAGGGAACCATTCGCACTCCGGGGTGTAAAATACACATGTGCCACATCACATCGATTGCTTTGTTTTATTGAGCCAATTAGTCGGGGGAGGGGGAAGATAAAAGTAACGACTTTACTCTAAAAGAAATGAAAGACCATTCATATGTTTTTCCCGGACGTGAAATACTCTGCAGATTCGGGGCGTGCGGCACGTTTTTTGACGCGCATTGTTTCACGAGCGGTGTTTCAGTGACGTAAACATGATATATCCACAGTCAGTTCCATAAGGCATACACTTGAATTGTGACAGATATGGATTGATGGAAATACGGTACAAGACATGGTAGGCCTAATAAACAGAAAATGCTATTGCAAGAAACCGTCTTGACGCGCTGGCCGGTATCGCAATATCCGAGAATGGACCGTCCATTTGTAAAACCCATACGGCAAAGGACCAGTCTCGTGGTGCTCTCTAAATAAATATTTAAGACAAAACCTAAAAAGCCGAACGGCTATCGCTCACTTTCCACTTTAAGATTGATATCAATGATATATGGCAGAGTTAACATAGGTCTATGCGTGCCATCGGCTGCCGCAGACAAGAAGTACGTCTGTTGCCCTGAAACTTCGCTATTACGAGGTGGCGAACAGCTTGATTCGTGTCGCGATTAAGTATGCAAATGGAAAGGAAACATTTAAAGGAATATTTGCCAACGTCAATATTTAATCCAAAGTTAACACGTTTGCTATTACTAAGATATGTTTTACGGATTGAGATATGACACGCAAATATTGCAAACAATTACACCAGGGTGTGGGACACATGACTTTTTGTTTCAAGTAAGTATTAACAACACTATATATTTTTGCATAATTTAGGCAACACCCAATGATTTCTGGCTGGTTTCAAAATAATAGAGGACTAATAATCATCCAACTAGTGTTATAGCATTTGGGTTAGTTCGTACCGTTGGTACAACAATTACCTGTATGATGCTGCATTTTGATCTTTGCTATAACTTATTAAGTTCCGTATCCCCGCACTTTTTCGGACCACTTAATTTGTGACTTGCAGTGATTATACATGTGGCCTGGTTTGGGACACAGTCCACATAATTCCGACATTATCTTTTTGACATTCGGGTTTCAACTTCCGAAAGAAAGGGGCACTTTTTTAAACGATGAAGATTGGATTACTGACCTCATTCGTGTAATTGAGCTGTTGGGGCAGTTATCCCGGACTAAGATAGAAACTTTTTATCTATAGCGTTTAGTACACTTTTGGTACATATCTTTCAATGGCTGCGGATTAAGATGCAGTTTCCCCTTAACTAATAACGACAGTAGGCTGTTTGTTTAGATAATAAAATATACGTGAAATAGGCCATGCACACGTCATTGTGTACTCATTTCAGTTTCGTATCCCTTGATTGTGCTCAGTATACGTCCTTATCTGATCAAGGGTCACTTCAGTGTGGCCCGTAAAAATGGTTTATTGGGCAAGAAAGGGCACGGCTGAAGTCTGTTCCGACGGATCATTAACACTACAAACAGATGCAAGATTGCATTATACCTGCACTTTAAATTTCTAGAAATAGCTTATTGGATTGGTAATGGATGAGTTATAAAAGTGAATTGACCTATGTCCATCTTTGCCTTTAAGGCGGGTTTCACAATCAAGAGATGTAACCATAGTTTTGTTGCCCGGCTTCAAGTCAACGTGATATTAATGATATACACATCAAGGGAGGTGCTTCTATCAACTGTGCCGGATCAGGTCCGTCTTTATAAACGTGAATAGGCCTATACGTATAGGCTAACTCCTTGTATAGACAAGATTCCATTAATCATACCTCGAGCTGCTAGAAGGAACTGCTTGTGGGTTCTGTCAAGGGAGTATTCTGTACTGCTGACAGAATTGTCTTGATTTGAAACAGAAACTCATTGCTGTCTAATTATTGATTGGATTGAAATCTTTGTCATAACTTGATCAAACCATGGGGAGTGAAATGCCTCAGTGCTCCGTAGATGGCATCCACCGAAACCTGACCATCTACACAGCCCAGGAGTTCTTCTTCGGCGATCTGGAAGTGGTACTGATCACAATCGCTCTCCCAGTGATCTTCACTGTAGGATTGTTGTGCAATGGCGCCTTCATGTTCGTCGTTGCCCGTGTACCAAGCATGCGAACTGACACCAATATCTACTTGGTCAATCTAGCATTCTCCGACATCCTCTTCCTTCTTGCCTTGCTGATAAACTACCTCGCCAAGTACCTGAATTACCAAGTCCGTACTGCTCACTCTGCTGTACCTGACTGCTTCCTGTACAACCTTACTTTGTACACAACACACTTTGCGGGGTTGGCATTGATCAGCGTCACGTCATTGGAGCGGTACATCGCGGTTTGTCACCCGCTACGCCGGCGGGTGATGGGCGGGCGTGATCGGACCGTAAGGTTGGTCGTAACCTGTTGGATATCGGCACTTATCTTCGCTGCTCTGATGCTACCAGGATTCGCCAAGTACCAAGAGTACTGCGTGAAGTGGCCAGAAGACATCACTAATCATCCTAAATATCAGAACCTCCCAACAGTAGTCTACATTTGCGAGCCGGTTGATGATTGGGCGTACCAAATGCTGTACCTAACCCAAACTCTGCCATTTACAGTCGTATTTCTCTTAAACGTGTATTTCTACACGAGAATCGTGTTGCGTCTGCACAAACGCCATGTCGTAAAAAAACGTAGGTCTGCTATTCGCACCCGGAATCAGGTTGCCGTCATGTTGGTTGCTAATGGTACCGTTTTCTTTTTAGCGTTGTCCTGTTTTGAGACCGTGTCTCTGATTCTGTTCTTTGAGCATACGCTCGGTACCTTTTTCATTCCCGATCACGTCCGGCCGCCTTTGCTGGCAGCCGGCAAAATCCTTCTGTACATCAATGCCGCTATCAATCCTTTGGTGTACACGGTCTTCAATTCTCATTACAGACGCGCGTTTGTGGAGGCTTTCAAGATGTCTCGACGCTCAATCAAGTTGCCAAAGCCCATTCCCCTGACAGGTGGGTTGTTCCACCGATCCAGCGAGACTGGGAGCCCTGACAATCAGCCAGCAAAACAGGCCATTCCCTCGGTCAGCGTAAGCCTTCAATAAAGAAATTTCAGTGGCCTGGCAAGAACTCTGTGACATTTTAATGGCGCGCAAGTATAAAGCGTCTTCAGTGTCCTTAAGTAACTTTAATAAAGCAACGGTTTGAATGATAATTTGAAGTTCGTCTATCCCTTAAGGTCGGTACTGACGACCATGTACGTGCTGGCTAACAAACAGTGCAATACCAAATAATATTTCCCTGCGCACAAATGTTCACTTCTGCGGTGTCCTCCATGATTGTACGTAGGCCTACGATTGAGTGTTAACAGCCATCATTGTACAACAGCAAATATGGAGCCATCAATGGAATACATAATCGGAGATGACATTGCAAGATTGTACTTTAGTTGTTGTTTCTATATGAAATTATTATGGGTTTTTTTAGTTGTCGAATAAACCTTAAACGACGGTTAGTATTTTGGGTAATAATGTGGTGCATAATTGATTTTTCCCCTTGACCTTTGTCAAACATTTCCCATAAATTTGTTAATGCAACTTTATTGAGCTTTCCATTGAGAGCTACATTTCCCCGTGCAAATATACCTACACGTAAATGTAGTAATTGTACTGTTTTGTCACTTCTGTGTGTAACTGTCATAACTGTAATATTACCTGAGCCTCCTACATGTGTTCGCGTTGTAAAGTAGAATTTGCCCTATATTCCGCATAGATGACTACATGACGTTTTCCCATCATTATGCACCGTTTATCATAATGCGTCGTTCCGGTAGTAACGAGTATACGTTCAATAGACACCTAATAGACCAACTTCTTTGAGTACATTTCATTTTGCCAGTTGCCTCGTTTTATCAGCCCCCCCCCCCTTGAAAAGCGAGTACCTTCATTGGCAGTGTTATAACAGTATAGACGAGCGTATAACTAGTAACCGTCGAAATGTTTCGCAAACTATAGTTTCGAAGGGAGACTCTAGTCAATGTCATTAGAGCTGAGGGCAATTCATAGCTTGGTGGCAGCAGACTGCCTTCCCGTAACATGCTAAAGCTGTTAGTTGAGAATGCATGGATACAGTTGGAGAATTACCGCGAAACCTAGACTCGGCGTAGCTGTCATTATGACTCTCTTCTCTACCGTTCTTAGGCATACAAACTGTGGACATTCAGCAGCTATCAATAGAGTTCCTTCAGGTCTACATGTAGATGACAGGCATTACTATTAGATCTACTGCACAAAGAGGCTTCATGTTCTAAATCTGGCATTTTCTTCAGAAATCTTGGGCCTCAAGACTTGCCCGTCTGCTAGCTTGTTGGCCTACTTATAAGCTTTCGAACAATGTATAGTTTGTGTAGAATTTCTCATGTTAAATACATTTTGACTGCGATATAGCAAGCAAGCATCGCTGGCAAGCTTTTACTGCACATAGAGACATCATGTTCTATATATTAAATTTTCTCCAAAAGTCTTGGGCCTCAAGACTTGCCCGTCTGCCTGCTTTTTGACCTACTTATAAGCTTTCAAACAATAAATAGACTGTGTAGAATTTCTCATGTTAAGGTACTTTTTGACTGCAATATAAAGAGCAAGTATCGCTGGCGATGACAGGCATTACTATTAGATCTACTGCACAAACAGGCTTCATGTTCTATATCTTGCATTTTCTTTAACTAGTGGCATCATGTACTACATTTGACGTTTTCTCCAAAAGTTTCAAGTCTAGAACCTTGCCGATTTGCCAGCTTGTTGGCCTATTCTTCAGCTTTCCAACAATATATAGTTTGTCCAGAACCATCTATGTTAAGATATCTTTAGACTGCGATACATGGGAGCCATGCAGGTTGGCGCTGACAGGCCTTGCTATGGAATTTACTGCACAAAAACGAAACTAGTGGCATCATGTACTACATCTGACGTTTTCTCCAAAAGTTTCGAGTCTAGAGCCTTGCCTAATCGCCAGTTACTTGGCCTAATCATCTGCTTTCAAGCAATCTATAGTTTGTCCAGAACTATCTATGTTAATATATCTTTAGACTGCGATACATGGGAACCATGCAGGTTGGCGCTAACGGGCCTTGCTATGGAATTTACTGCACAAAAACGAAACTAGTGGCATCATGTACTACATCTCACGTTATCTCCAAAAGTTTCAAGTCTAGGGCCTTGCCGAACCGCCAGCTACTTGGCCTAAGCATCCGCTTTCAAGCAATCTATAGTTTGTCCAGAACCATTTATGTTAAGGTACCTTTAGACTGCGATACATGAGAGCCATGCGGCTGGGCGCTGACAGGCCTTGCTATGGGATTTATTGCACAAAACGAAACTAGTGGCATCATGTACTACACCTGAAGTTTTCTCCAAAGGTTTAAAGTCTAGAACGTTGCCGATTTGCCAGCTTGTTGGCTTATTCATCAGCTTTCCAACAATATAGAGTTTGTCCAGAACCATCCATGTTAAGCTACCTTTAGACTGCAATACATGAGAGTCATGCGGGTTGGTGCTGACGGGCCTTGCTATGGGATTTGCTGCACAAAAACGAAACTAGTAGCATCATTTACTACATTTGACGTTTTCTCCAAGAGATTCAAGTCTGAAACCTAGCCAATTTGCCGGCTTGTTGGCCTATTCATCAGCTTTCAAACAATATATAGTTTGTCCAGAACCATTCATGTTAAGGTACCTTTAGACTGCGATGAGAGCCATGCAGGTTGGCGCTGACGGGTCTTGCTACGGGATTTACTGCACAAAAACGAAACAAGTAACATCATGTATTACATTTGACGTTTTCTCCAAAAGTTTCTAGTCTAGAACTTTCCCGATTCGCCAGCTTGTTTGCCTATTCATCAGCTTTCCACCAATATATAGTTTGTCCAGAACCATTCATGTTAAGGTACCTTTAGACTGCGATACATGAGAGCCATGAGGGTTGGCGCTGACAGGCCTTGCTATGGGATTTACTGCACAAAAACAAAACTAGTGGCATCAGGTACTACATCTGCGGTTTTCTCCATAAGTTTTAGGTCTAGAGCCGTGCCGATTTGCATACTGGTTGGCCCATTCATCCGCTTTCCAACGGTATAAAGTTTGCTGGTTGGCCCATTCAACGGTACAAAGTTTGTCCAGAACCATCTATGTTAAGATATCTTTAGACTGCGATACATGGGAGCCATGCAGGTTGGCGCAAACGGGCCTTGCTATGGAATTTACTGCACAAAAACGAAACTAGTGGCATCATGTACTACATCTGACGTTTTCTCCAAAAGTTTCAAGTCTAGAGCCTTGCCGAATCGCCAGCTACTTGGACTACTCATCCGCTTTCAAGCAATGTATAGTTTGTCCAGAACCATTCATGTTAAGGTACCTTTAGACTACGATACATGAAAGCCATGCGGCTGGGCGCTGACAGGCCTTGCTATGGGATTTATTGCACAAAAACGAAACTAGTTGCATCAGTACTACACCTGAAGTTTTCTCCAAAGGTTTAAAGTCTAGAACGTTGCCGATTTCCAGCTTGTTGGCTTATTCATCAGCTTTCCAACAATATATAGTTTGTCCAGAACCATCCATGTTAAGCTACCTTTAGACTGCAATATATGAGAGTCATGCGGGTTGGCGCTGACGGGCCTTGCTATGGGATTTGCTGCACAAAAACGAAACTAGTAGCATCATTTACTACATTTGACGTTTTCTCCAAGAGATTCAAGTCTGAAACCTAGCCAATTTGCCGGCTTGTTGGCCTATTCATCAGCTTTCCAGCAATATATAGTTTGTCCAGAACCTGAGAGCCAAGTCGGTTGGCGCTGACAGGCCTCCCTAAGGGATTTAACGCACAAAAATGAAAACTAGTGGCATCAGCTACTACATCTGCAGTTTTCTCCAAAAGTTTCAGGTTTGGCGCCTTGAAATATTTCATGCTGGTTGGCCCATTCATCCGCTTCCCAACGGTGTAAAGTTTGTCCAGAACCGTCCATGTTAAGGTACATTTAGACCGGGATACATGAGAGCCATGAAGGTTGGAGCTGACAGGCCTCCCTATGGGACTTACTGCAAAAAAAAACGACACTAGTGGCATCAGCTACTACATGTGCTGTTTTCTCCAAGGTTTCAGGTATGGTGCCTTGAAATTGTGCATGCTGGTTGGCCCATTCATCCGCTTCCCAACGGTGTCAAGTTTGTCCAGAACCGTCCATGTTCAGGTACCTTTAGACCGGGATACACGAGAGCCATGTTGGTTGGCGCTGACAGGCCTCCCTATGTGACTTACTGCACAAAAACGAAACTACTGGCATCAGCTACTACATCTGCAGTTTTCTCCACAAGTTTAAAATCTGGCGCCTTGACATTTTGCATGCTGGTTGGCTCATTCATCTGCTTCCCAACGGTGTCAAGTTTGTCCAGAACCGCCCATGTTAAGATGCCTATAGACTGCGATACATGAGAGCCATGCGGGTTGGCGCTGACAGGCCTCCCTAAGGCCCAAAAAAAGTCTCCAGTTTCTGGTATGGGCGCGCGTCGCCGTAGCCATGCGCGTCGGCAAAATGAAAAAAGTTTTTTTTTCAATGAAAGATGATGTCTCAAAACCGCCAAACTCACTGGTTTGACTGGAATCCTGCTGCTGCACAATTTTAACGTGTTTTTAGACTGGGTTATCGTCGAGAATAAGCTTTATGTGGCCTCTCTGGACTCCCATATATTTGCACTAAGTTTAGTCGGACACCATTTGCAGTCATCAGCCCACATGTGAAGCAAGAAAATCAGGTAAACAAAAAAAAAGCCGCGTTGCCGCACCACTTTTTTGGGCAAGCTCCATACCAGAAACCGGAGACTTTTTTTTTTGGCCTATGGGACTTACTGCACAAAAACGAAACTAGTGGCATCAGCTACTACATCTGAAGTTTTCTCAAAAAATTGCAGGTCTGGCGCCCTGAGGTTTTGCATGATGGTTGGCCCATTCATCCGCTTCCCAACGGTGTAAAGTTTGTCCAGAACCGTCCATGTTAAGGTACCTTTAGACCGGGATACATTAGAGCCATGTCGGTTGGCGCTGACAG